ATTGCTGTCCAGTTTTCCCAACATCATTTATCAAAGAGATTCTCCTTTCCCCATTGTATATTCTTGCCTCCTTTCCTGTAAAAAAATGCGGCGTGGGAGGGGTCTTCTTATCTTTTAGTTTGTTGAACACAGTAGTGTTTACCTTCTCCCTGGTCTCATGGCTTTAGTCCTGGGCACCCTTTCCCCACTTTATGGGTGGGCACTGCTGTGGGTAGAGGGCCCCACAAATGAGCTCCCTTTCAGGTGACTCTTTCCTCAGCTTCAAGGTGAGGTGTTTGTTGGAGAGAACAAGAATTTTTTGCCCTCTATTTTTCCCTTCCTAAGCACATCTATTTCCTGTCTCCTTGGGTGGCTCAGGGTGCCCCATTGGCTGGATCTTGGAAACTGGCTGCCTCGTCCTTTCACCGCCGGCCGCAGCCTATGCCTCTCTTCCTCGTGACTTCTCCTGCCTTCCCGTCCCATTCTACTGGTCCCTTCCGCAGAGCACTGCCGCTGCTCCTGGCTTCCCCTCGCCGAGTGAGTTCGTGCGACCTTCGCGCTGCATTCATGCTTCGGGACTTGGCTGCTGTCATGATGTCAGTGGTGCAGGTCAGCAGATGGCGACGGCGGCAATGAGACCTGACATGTTCTAATGACCCCCTCCTTCCCACCGTTGCTGGCTGAGCCGACAGAGGGGCAGGGATTTCCTTGAAGCATTTTAGGAGGGGCCGAGGGAAATTGGGGAGGGGGGCTCCCAGGTGCCGATGAGGCCTGTGACCTTTGCTGCTATAATATCAGTGTTTCACCAGCGGGGCAGTTTAGGAGCCCACTTGCAGCCCATCAAAAATTGATTTAATTGCAATTTTTCCTCCAATTAGGAGCACTGGAGCCTGACTAATTGGAGTAATAGAGAGTAATAAGGCTCAGATAAAAAGCCTGCCTCGGCGGCCTTTGTATCTCGTGTCAGTGCCTGTCAGAGGTCAGAGAGCTTGCATATTCTATTAGGCAGCCCAGCCTTCATTTGTACAAATTAGTTTACCCAACAGTAATTAAAATGCCAATGCGGGTTGAAGAGAACTGAATACACTTGATGGGCATGTTGCTGAATGATGTGACAGCTCTGGTGGCCTCCCTTGCCAAAGTGTGTCAGCCCCAGCTCAGAGGCGGCTGGGGCCTGGGCCAGCTGGGTGGCTGCGGGCCAGCCACGGGGCACAGCTGCTGAGCACGCCACTTCTGCCGTCCCGCCTCAGAGCCACTCCGTCTCTCTTTTCTTCTTCCAGGTGGAGTCATTTTGGTCATTTGTCCATTTGTTCATTCAACAAGCATTTAAGTATCTGTCAGGTATCATACGAGGTCCTGGGGAGAGAACTTCTCGGGCAAGGGGTGTAAAATCACTTGGGTTCTGGAATCGAGATTGACTAGGTTCGAATTCCAGTCCTACTTGCTGCCTGTGTGAGCCGAGCAGCTTGCATTACCGCTGTGCCTCAGTTCCGTCGTCTGCAGAACTGGGAAAGTAGAACCTACTGCACGGGGTTAGGAAGGTTAGATAGAATACCACTTCTGAAACACTTGCTCAGAACTTGGCACCTAGTAAGTGCTCAATAGATCATGCATGTAATTAAAAGTGCCTAAAGCAGAGGCAGCAAGAATCTCTTCTTTTTACCCTGCTCACACCCAGCTAACTTACCTTCTACCTTCCTCTCTCTCTTCCGTATTTTGTTATTTTCTCTTCCCCAACTTGAGTACCAGGACCCCTAGTTCTCCTGCTGTGTCTCTCTGATGCGAGGACTCCCGTGTCTACTGCTGGGGCCTGCTCATGGGCTCCGAGACGCCAGCTTTGCCTGAGCTGGGGGAGGGGGCCAGTGAGGTAGGCTGGGGCCCTGGGCACAGAACGAGAAACTAGAAGGCTGGCTTCTGGCAAGCGCTTTCTTGTCCAAAAAGAGTAGAGTTTATGGAATCAGGATGACTTTTAGACCCTCAAGCTTTGAGAGTCTGTGCACGTGGTGTGTGTGTGATGGAGAGAGAGAGAGTTTGGACATTACTTTTCAGGTGCTGTTGATATTCCTCATCTGTAATCTGGTTGTGGTGCTCATGAGGGACTTCACAGCCCCAGCGATGTACGACTGTGTCTTATGCCATTCAGGTCTGAGTTTGCTGATTTGGGAATTATTCCTTTAAGAAGCAGAGGGACCTCCTTCACAGCCCATATGACTAGCTTCTCAGAGCCCTGCCAGCTATGGCTCAGTGGATTGAGCGCCTGTCTGTGAACTGAAAGGTTGCCAGTTTGATTCCCAGTCAGGGCACATGCTTGGGGTGCAGGCCAGGTCCCTATGTCGGGGCATGTGAGAGGATGGATGTATTCTTGCACGTGGATATTTCCCTCCCCACCCCTCCCCTCTTTCTAAAAAGTAAATACAGTCTTTTAAAAAAAATCTTTAAAAAAAAACAAACCCCAAACGTAGCATGACTCAGCCTATTTGGCTGTGAGCCCTGGAAGGCCCTCGCAGTCCAGTCCACAGATTTACTCTGAGTGCCTCTTCTGGGCCAGGCACTGTGCTGGCCACTGGGATACACGAGCCGCCAGGTGGTTCATGATCTCAAGGGGAGCATGGGAAGACAACTCCCCAAATGCCATTTGTCCCAAGAAGGTGAGGTCAGAGTGTGGTAGGGACTCAGAGGAGGGATAGTCAAGCCACCTGGGAGCCAGCAGCTTCTGTCTCTTGCCTGTTTGGCACAGGCCTGCTGTCCCTGTCCCTGGCGGTCCCCCATGGTGTGGGTTCGAGTCCTGGTGAGTGCCCCCAGTGGAACCTGGCACCAGATCTGCTTGACTTCTGCTTATGTTTTTTTTGCTGAGTGTCCACTTTGACTAAACTCTTAGGTCCTCATAAGTGCCAGGGGAACTCTCTACTTTCCCTCCTTCTCTCCCACCCTACTTCCCATGGTAAAGCGAAGGAAAAACAGTTTGTGGGAGGAAACATTCATAGGTGTCATATCCAGGCGATTAAGAAAGGCCTCCGTGGGGAATGAAGGTGAGAGGTGGCCCTCTTGGCGGCAGACGGCCAGGGCCAGGGTCGGGGCTGGGCAGGAACAGCGCAGCCCAGGAGTCCCAGGGGATGGCGCGCCGCACCTCCACCCCAGCCTGCTGGGGGGCCGGAGCTGTGGGAGTGGCAGGGAGCCAGCTTCTGGGGCTATTGTCTTCTCTCTCTCTCTCTCTCTCTCTCTCTCTCTCTCTCTCTCTCTCTCTCTCTCTCTCTCTCGCTAATTTAGGCCTGTGGCAGGCCTCTGACCTGCCGCAGGCCTCCATAAGAGTTGGCTCTGTCGGTGCCCCTTACCTGGGTCTGAATCCTCAAAAATCTGGAGAGCCCAATTGCCTGCTCCAGTGATTTCCAAGTGGCTATTATGTTTCCAACCCAAGGTCATGGCTCTCCCAGTTATTAATGGATTGCCTCAGGAGGAAAATGTTGGGGGAAGGTGAGGACAACACCTCCTGGCTTTGTAGCTGGGAGCTTCCCTGTCCAGAGGCCACTTCCCAGGCTGGGAGTCACTTGGGACATGACAGAGTGGCAGTTTTGGCACACCACTCTAGTTTAGTGGCTGCTGGCAGTCCTGTGGGTGGAGAGGAAGCTAGGATGATGGAGTGTGTCCCTAGAGGAAGGCTTGGCTTGAGGCATGGAAGCCTCAGGGTGGCTCACGTGGCTATTTTGTTAGCCTGGGTTGAAAAGCAGACACCTGCCCTGCAATTTTGACTGTAAATCAGTGGCTTGGCCAATGCCTGCCCTAACATCTCCCCAGTCAGTAACTCTCAGGCCAACTCCCCCTCCCCCCTGCCCCCAGCCAAAGCTGCTGGCTTCTTCAGAGCCCTCTGTGGAAATCCATCTCCTCACCGACGTGCTTGGGATCAGAGAACCACAGGTGCTGGGCAGGGCCGGGGCGGATGGGCTGCTGCCCCACATTGCTAACATGTCATTAGTATGTCCAGTCCCCCTCCCCCCATGCCTGGCATGTAGGGACATGGCCCTTCCCTGCCCCTGGCTCCTGAGTGACACATCTGATTTCAGCTCTCTTGCTCTCAGTTTAGGTTTTCAAGCCATGGGTTCCTGCAGGCTCCCCGCGCGCTACCCGCCTCGCCCCCCGCCCCCTGCCCCAGCCAAATCTTCTAACAAAGGAGTGGCCTGGCGTGAAGGTTCAAGTTCTAGTCCTAGCACTGCAGCCAGCCTTGCTCCTTGCACGGTCCTTCTCACTGCCTGCACTTAAAAATGACATTCTGCAGATTGTATTTGTTCAACTTTCTTTAAGGGTTTAAGGCACACTCTGGGAAATACAGTGCGAGTGTTCCTTCTCGTCTGCCTCTTGACGGTGTCTGTCATTGTTCTCTAAACTCAACCAGACTCCCATTCTACTCCAAAGCAGCCCTGGCTGCCTAGCCTCCTCTCTCACCTTTGTACACTAGCATTTCTCCCGTTTCATCTTTCCGTATTCTTACTCGCCTTTCATCGTTTCCTTTTCCTCACATTGGTGCCTTTGCACCTGCCCTGTGCTTGCACCATATTACCAGATTCCCTGAGCTCTTAAAACCTTCAGGAATGCCCCAGCCACCCTCAGCTCTGACCAGGAGCCAGCAGCCAGCAGCCAGCAGCCATGCCCCCACAACCATTTCTGTGCCATGGCTTTGTGAACTCCGAACAGCTGAAGCCCAACAGGCTTGCTCTCCCTTGGCCTCAGGGTTGCGCCTAGAAACCTCTTTTTTGTGGGGGGCAGAGACCACACGACTGGGTCCGAGCGACGGGCTCGGCTGTCATTGAACCTGTGGCTCCTCTGGCCAGTCAGCCCTGGGCCGCAGCCCTCACCGTGCGCCAGGGGTCTTCCCGCAACTCCTCCGATGGCTCTCTTGGCTGCTTCTCTCATCCCGGCTTAACCCCAGCACCTGCTGGAGAATGAGCACTGCACCTTCGATTGTGTAGCCATTTCCGCCACAAGTCCTGACAGGCCAGATCTGACTCTGCTCTCCTTTTGTTTGGCAGCTCTTTTGTGACAGGGACGGCTTGTTGTGGGCACTTCTCACCCCTAAGAATCTGGGACCTCAACAGGTAAGAGATTCCTGAGCCCACCATGGCCTGCAGAGGGGGTGGGGCTGGGGCTGCTGGGGAGGCCGTGGGGAGAGCTGGCTGGGCCAGCCGCTGCTGCAGCGGGCTGCTGGGCGGTCCAGGAGGAGGCCGTGAGGAACCCCTGCCCCGGAACCCGCTGACAGCCTCTGCTGTGGCACCTTCTCCCATGGCAGCGTTCCGTTAGCTTGAGTCGACTGTCAAAGTAATTTATCATGGGTGAATAATCCCAGGTAAAATTTAGGATAACAACAATTTGGACTTGTGGTACTTTTTCTCCAAGGAGTGCCTCTGTGGCACTATCCTCAGAGATGATTTTTCTAAAATAAAGAAATTTTGGAAGTGGTCTGCAGATCCAAAAAAGAATTATACAGAACAGTTACAATACATCCAGATTTTATGTATAATTCTCTGCCTTGGCAGGCTTGACACATTCCCATCTGATTATCTGCCATTCTGTTTGGTTTTTAAAAACTTTTTGTTTTGAAATTATAGATTCATAGGAAGCTATAAAAAACAGGACAGCAATGTACCTGTGTAACGTCTTACTCAGTATAATATCAGAACCAGGAAATTGACATCAGTGCGGTGCGTAAACCTTTATTCGGGTTCTGGCTGCGTGTGTTTGTGTGCGTACATGCACAGGTGTAGCTCTTTGCAGTGTTACTCATGCGTGCAGATTCAGGTGCCACAATCAAGAGAGAGAACTGTTTGTTCCCTCAGCACAAAGATCCCTCCTCTATCCTTTATTGTCATACCCACTCTCCGCACCCTCTGTGGCATTTAGTATTGTCACTACTTTTTTTGCATCAAGAATTCTTCACCTTGCCCCAGGCACCTACTTCCTGGTTTTCAGTGCCCTAATTAGCGATGGGGGTGTGCTCGTCTTGCCCTTTTCCTGCCTCAGTTGCTTTAGCTTGTCTTCTCCTTTTCTCTCCATCTCCCCAGGAAAGTGTTAGCCATATCTTTTTATATTTCTATTTTAAATATCCATTGTGTTGTCAGTCTTTTCAAATGATTTTTTTTATAACACATGAGATACTTTAATTAATGCTCTTAATGATCATCCAACTGCAGGAATAGGGAACTCACAACTTCACCAAGTACCGCATCGCATCTTTGGGTAGCCCTGGGAGTGGGACTGCCTGCCCTTCGGGAGGGTGGATCTGCTTCCTGGAGGTGTGATCCTGGCAGGAAGCAAGTTGAACCTGTCCTCTGAAGACGGGCCTTTAGATTTCAGAAAACTTTTGCCAGTGAAAGTCATCCCCATGGCTCAGTCTGCCCAACTCCTGCTACTGGCAGCTCCTTGCGTCTGAATGGGGCTGAGGAGGAAGGAGCAGTAAGGAGTGAGAGGAGGCCGTGAGGAGTTCCCGAGGGAGCACAGGCTGGGAGGTCGGACACACCTGGCTTCCAGAGCGGACTCTGCTGCTTATTAATTCTATGACCTGGGGCGAGGCCTCTCTCTGCCTCAGTTTCCACACTTGTAAATGGGATTGACTATCCCTATGTAACAGAGCCAGTATGAAGAAAGCACACACACAGTACCTGTCACCATGGAGGCAGTCACCCACGCTAAGCTGCCTTCTCCCCTCTCCTCCTCCCCATCCACAGCTGTCTTCCACACGGGTGCCATGGGGTTTGTGGGGGCTCACCCTTTTGGTCCTCTAAATATCTGTGGCCTATGACCAGTGGAGGCGGGGCTGAGCCTGCTGACTTCATGGCATAGAAAAGGCTCTTGACAGTAAGGGTGTACGTCACAAAAAGGGGCATTTCTGCTGAAGGTCAGTTTTATTTGAAATCATGTAGCTGGACCTAGTCTGGCATCATCACTGGCCTGGGTTCAGGATGGAGGACAGGCCAGCAGGGTGGGGGGTGCACTGCCGTGGCCCAGCTTTATCTCGAAGGTGCAGTAATGTTGAAGTGGCCTCTTCCCTGTGCTTGCCTTGGCAGGTCTGCCTGGGCACAGGTTTATGATCAGGGTGGGGTTCCAAGGCACCAACCCTTGAACGGCGTTCATTCCCTTATGAGATCCCTTACCTGCATTAACCCCAGACACTGGGTTTTCACAGAGCCCAGAACGAACCCGAATGAGAGTCGGCACAAGGTGGCGGGTACGATCCTCACTGGAGCCAGACAAGACAAAGCCACAGCACCCTCTGGCCAGCCTGTGGCAGGGCTGCCCTGGGTGTCACTTGGCATTGCCTTCGCTCCCACCCCCAGACTCCCTCCTCCCCACTGAGAGGAGCCGGGCTTTGTTTAAATGTCTCTCCTGGCCCCCGAGGAGTGTGGAGGACCAAGTGGTGCAGGGTTCAAGGGAAAGATGCCCTGGTGGAGGCATCTCCTTTTGGTGGGAGGAAACGGACGGACAGGAGGACTGTCTGTAGCTGTCTTTCCCAGAGAAGCCTGAGCAGATAATAAAGCCATGTAGAAAATAGGATTAAGGTAATGAACAGGCAGGACCGAGTTTGATCTTTCAATAACGCCAAAGCCTGACTGACAGGCCAATCTGGAAGGTGGAGCAACATCGCCGGCAGGACTCCGCAGCCGGGCCACGTACAGTGCTGGGTGGATTCTTTTGCTTTTAACCTGTCACCGCTGAAACTTGAGGAGCACTGAGATTTTCTTTTATGTGTGCACTGACTTGGGGTTGGGGGGAGGAGTACTGAGGGGCAGTTTTGCTCTCAGCATCACCCCTCCAGGGGCTGCCCTTGGGATGAGGGTGGGGGCCGGGATGGTGCTCCCAAGTGTAGGCGCCCTGCTGAGTCCTCAGCCATCTCTGTCCCTCACTACCTGTCCTCAGGCAACCTGGGCTCCTTACAACGCCGGGGACTCCTTTCAAGGTCGCCATGGCTCCCTCGGCCCTTCATTGCATCAGCACCCCTGGAGACTGTTCTTCCCATCAGCTAAGTAAGGGGAGCTCCTGGCTGGAGGTCAGAGGGCAGCTGTGGCACACAGCCTTTGCCTAGATGTCAAGGAACTTGGCTGTCTCCCCGCCCCTCCTCCTCTTCTGCCCTTCTCTCTCCTAGAGCTGTCTACACCAGGCCAAGGGAAAGAAAGAGTCCTTCATCCAGCCTGCAGGGGCCAGCGTGTTCCTGCTTCTGAGGGCTGATGTTCTTCAGGCCCAGTTCCCAGCCCTTAAAGGGCTCCATCTTGACAGACAGTGCCAACAGCCAACCACTGAAGTGTCCTTAGCTAGGCCCTGGGGTCCCATCAGGCCTCAAGGTACTGTGCCCAAGCCATCTTGTTCCTGGGCCTGAGGTCTAGAGGAATCAGGCCGATCTCGTGCTCTCTGTCCACATTTGAGCAGGCCCTTGGCTGGGCCCCAGGTGGGACACCTCCCACCTGCCAGGGGTCCTGGCTGGTCAGACATAGCGCATTCCACCCTCACAGGGCGCAGTAGTCGCCCTGGGGGCAGTGGGCAGCTGGGCAACACGACGAGGAGGCCTGTGATCCCAGACCTGGAGGTGTCGCAGTGGGTCCTGCCAGAGCCCTGAGCCAGCCTGGGAGCTGTCAGGTGGGGAAGCAGGTAGGAGTGGGCTCTGGCGACCTGCTTGTTCTAAGGGACTGAGGATTTGAGTCGTTGGCTAGGCACCATGCTGTGTATGTATGTGACCATGGCATGGCCCCGGCACGCGTCCCCTCCCCTCCCCTCCCCGTTCAGGCCAGGGTCCTTCCCTGTTCTCCACTACTCTCCCACTTCCATCCTAAAGCCCTTAAGCCCCCTTTCCCGATGAAGGCTGGGCAGATGGGCTTCTCACACGTTCGGACAGGTGCCCTGTGTCTTTCCCCTCTGAGCCTTTGCTGCGCCTGCCGCCTGTGCCGGGACGAACCCTTCTCTGCCTCCTGAAACCCTGCCCGCCCGTCAGCATCAGCAGCACTTCTGTCACGAAGCCCGCCCTGACCCTGACCCCCGTGGCTGGAGTCGGTGACTCTTCGAGCACCCACAGGGCCACCTTGTCAGCTACCGTGTGCCCTGGCATGGCTCCCCCTTGGACTGGAAGCTTGTCTTGGGACCCTGAACTGAGCACAGAGCTGAATATCAGGTCGTCTACTGGCGTTTGGAATGACAAGGGCATCTGGCTGCTGCCTGTCGAACCGCCAGTCGTGGGGGCTGGTGTCCTGAGTGCAGGCCGGGCCACTCTGAGGGCACCATTAGTGCCCATCCCGCCCAGGTGTGGCTTTGTCTCTGCCCCAGGGCCTCCGCCTCCACCGGGCAGGGGGCCTGGCCCTCAGTCAGGCTGATTAAGGGAATTGCCCCTCTTTAAAGTACCTGCCTTCTCCTTTGAAAGTATTACTGACAGCATTTTTCATTTTCTTTTTTTCTTTACCTCTTTAAGGAACCCTGTAATTTCTTTCTCTTTCTTTCTTTCTACCCCCCTCTTTCTTTTTTCTTTCTTGTCCCCTCTGTCCCCCTGAACTCTTTGAAATTGGCTCTCTGCCTACTGACACCAAACTGATACTTTGCGTTTCACTTCTCCTTATCCCTTTATGGCAACAGATGTTGAAATTTTGTATCCTTTTATCTGCCCGGCTGCCCCTTCCTGTAATTACGGTCCCCTTGTTAGCAGTACAAAGTGGACTGCCTGGCCTTTGAGCCATTGTGTCTGAACACGTGTGCGCGGGTGGGTGCTGGGGGCCGTGCGCGCACGCAGGCCTGTGAGAGGCAGCGTGCTTGGTGAGGGCCCTTCCCTCTCACCTGGTAGGGCCAGGGCAGGTGCAGCTTTTATGGGCTTCTCCTTGTCTCCCCCACTTCGTGGCTGGGACCTATCCTCCTCGATTCTCCCACTCTCCCTACCGGAGGGCTGGACTAGGACAACCACTCCCTGCTCGAAAGCCGCACAGCGCTCTGCCGCTCGTGGGGTGCTGCCTGCGGAGCAGCGCGCCTGCCGCGGTCTGGAAGCCAGATCTTACCAGCTTGCCGCTCTCACGGACCTAAACCTCTGACTAAACCAGACTGCCAGCCGGGTGCCCCAGGTCCGCACCTTGGTTGTTGCTGGTATTTTACTTGGGCCATCCCCTTCTTTCCTGTCATTGCCTCTCACAGTCCTGTCGCTCACTGAAGAATTACTCAATAGCCAAAAATGTCCTCTGTGCCCTTATGACATTTTCTTTTATCTCCTGGTGCCCACCAGGTCATATACCTTGTATTGTTAGTTGGATATGTGACCAACCTCTCTCCCTTACTGGATTACAAGCTCCTTGAGGACAGGGAATGCATCCTTCGAAGTCACGCTTCACATCTCCGTGCCGTTTCTCTTAAGCACAATGCCTTGTATATAGAAGGAGCTCCATAAATGGTCATTGGTCAAAGAAAGGGAGAGAGAAAAGGATGGGGAGGGAGGGAGGGAGGGAGGAAGGGGCGAAGGAAGGAAGGAAAGAAGGAAGGAAGGAAGGAAGGACGGGAGAGAGGGAAAAACCTCCCACTTTGTTAACAACTATGTTGGGCCCAGCTTATACCTTCAGGCCATTTGTGTCCTGGGAGCCAAACAGATCTAGAGAGGTGAACTGTCACCCTCCCATCCATTTCCACTCCCAAAAGCCCTTGTTGTATGTTGGGATAGTACATGCAAGATGGGGTGACCTCACACCCAAACAGATGCAGGGAGGCGCAACCATAGGCTATCCAGGGAGCATCATTAGGAACCCAGCATGCTAACATTGGCTGTGAAATGGTGCGGGGCCACAGGTGGCTTTTCCGTGGGCTGTGGCTGTGGTGGGGAGCACAAGCAGGCCAGGCAGGGATGAGGGGCTCAGGGGAGGGAGGGGGGAGAGAAGGGAGGAGGTGCTGTTCCTGCCAGGGACTGCCCCACCCCCCTGGACTCTAGCCTGGAACTTGGCCTTTCCAGATCAGACGTCCGGTCTTCAGGGCTAGTACCTACCTTCTGTTAGCTTCCCCCAGAAAGGTCGTCTTGGGTGGGAGGGGCGGTCAGTGTCTTAAATTTTCCTCCTCCTTGACTGCCAGGAAGTTCCTCTCTAGCCTCCCATGTCCCTCCAGCGTGAGTGGAGTTGCTGGGGCAGCAGGGTGGGTTGGGCCAGGGAGAGCTGATTCCCACACCTGATTCCCCTTCAAGGCTCCCTGGGGTGAGGCCCAGGGAGCCAGGCTGCAGGGACGCATCTCCTTCGGGCTGCCCTCTGGGCCTGGCCGTATGCATCGGGCGCACAGGGGCAGCCCCATCTGTCTTTATCTTTCCCTGGGGGAGAGAGAATTGCTGGAGTCCTGCTTGGGGGAGGCTGGCGAGGAGGCCCCCCCAGCCCTCAGTGGCTCCTAAAGGCCTGGGCTTTGTGCGCAGGACTTGGGAGGGAATGGACTTTTTGTCTGGCCTTCTATAGTGACAGACTCGGCCCTTGCTCCCGTCTTGGCCCGGGGCTGTGCGCGGCCGCCCTGTTCCCACACAAGCTGCTCCGACAGCCAAGGCAATGCACCCCTCCCACCCCCCACAGTGGTAGGCCGAGAGGCATTCTTAACATTCTTTCCAGAGAAAAGGGGTGAAACGTCTGAATTTGGGGGTCACCATGTTATACAAATTGCAATCTAATCGTTTTTTACAAGAATACACTTGCAGTAAGAAAAGGAGCTCGGAGGAGGGGCTAAGAGACAGCTTGTTTTGTCCCCCTCTCCCCCAGTTTGGGGCTATTGTCGGCCAGTCTCTCTCCACCACAACAGTTGAGCTAGAGTTTTCTAGCTAAATTGGTCCTGGGGCGGGGGCCACCAAGGGCCCACGATGCCATTTCTGTTTGTTTTCCCAAATCAAAACCCCAGCAGGGCTCCAATGGCACTGCTGGGCCGCTATTGGAAGGGACTGGCCGTTTCCCAGAGCATGGCGTCAGTTTACGCTCTGAACTTAACCCCACGGCCACTGCACAGCAGAGCTTCAAGGGTGCCGGGCCCAGAGGCAAGAGAAATTGTATCTTTTTATTGGCCCATGTAAAGTGTGTGTGGCCATTTCAGAGACTCAGAGAACAGTGCAGCAGAAAGAAAACTCTGAAACCCCGGCCAGGCTGGGCTGGCAGATGAGGGGCTTTCGGGACTTGTCTTGGCCCCAGGGGCTGGTGCTCACTCTTGCCCTTCGGTCTCCCCTAGAGAGGAGGGTTCTGTGTTTCTTACTGCAGACGTTGCAGCATGACGCTCTCCAGTGGTGGCTCAGACTCTGGGGCAGAGGTCCAGGTTGGCCACTTGGTCTGGGTGTGGCCCTGTGCTGCTGACCCTGCCTAGCCAGGGATGCCCAGCACTCATTCCCCTTGAACCCTGGGACCGGGGTGGGCAGGTAGAGCCATGCTGGGCTTCACGCCCCCAATCCCACTGCCTTTCATCTTGTATTCCAAACAGACAAACATGAAATTACTTCTATAGATTAAAGGGGAGAGCTCCTCAGTCATTCCTGAAGGCCTCACTAATGGAGGGGGCAGGGCCCCCAATCTGGAGGGAGAGGGAGGCCTGTGGAGCAAAACAGCCCCTACCTGATACGCACAGGTGTGCATACATGCCCGTGAGAGAAGGAGAGAGAGACCAGCTGTGTTCAGGGCTCTGGCCTGCCCGGGTTGCTGAGTCATGGCTGGTGGCCCATCTGGGAAGGCTGGGCTTGCTGGGAGCCCAGGTCGGTGATCTCCAGGGGCTGCTGATCTGGGGAGAGGGCTTTCTGCCTGATCCTCCTCAGGATTCGTGCCCCCACCCCCCGCAGGTGTATCGTGTTCTACCCCTAGAGAAAGAAGAGCGCTGCCCTAGAAAGGAGGCTGCGGGCGGGGGGTGCTGGCTTAGGGCCTGACCTCCCACCAGACAGCAACGGTGCTCCTTCCTGGGGGTCACCTTGCTGTCCAGGGCTCAAGGGGAAAGGCAGAGAGGGCAGAAGGGAACCCACAGCCGCCTCCTCTATTCCTTCAGGGAAGATGGCGGCTCTACAGGGGAGAAGGGAGGTTGAGGATCAGCATCTCTGTGTGGTGGAAGGACAAGAGCTGAGGGCCACATTCACACGTGACTGGCAGCCGCGTCTGCCTCAACTCTTTGATGAACGTTGCTTGGGCCAAACCTGGGCCGGTGTGACCGCGAAGTCCTCCCACTCCATGCCCAGCCTCTTACCTGCGTGTCCCTCAGAAGTGTCCAAGGCCTTATTCTCTGGCCATGTCATGGAGGAGAGCCCAGCATCTCTTGGGTGAAGCTGAAGAACGGAGTCTGGAGGGTGCCCCTCTTCTCCTTCCTTCCCCCCAGTCATTCCGCAAACTCACTGCTTCTACCCGTCCCCTGGCCACAGGGATTAGCGGGTGCACTTGATGTTGAGGGGTAGTTGCTAGGGCCAGGAGGCCCCCCTACATGGTTGCTAGGGGTCTGGCATTGGGCGAGGGGTCTGCCCACTGCCGCGGTCACGGAGGGAATTACACAGTCACAAAGAAATTGTTCTTCTCAGTAATCTGCTCTCGGCCACCGGGAGGGGCGCGGGTGGGGGAGCAAGCTGGAGCCCAGCAGGCTGGGGGCTGTGATCACAGAGGCGTGCTCGCCCCGGGCTGGGGGCCAGCCCGGCCGGGAACACCAGGGACCAGCCCGCTAAGCTGCTTTCTCAGCGATTTCTCTCCCCAGACACAAAGGTGTTTACTTGTTTTAACATCTCCTGGGACTCCCCTTCTCCCTTTGTGTGGTCTTTATCCCCAATGAGGTTTGAGCCCCAGATTACAGGCGGGAATTAAGGCATTGGACTCAGGCAGCTCAGAACTGCATGACCTGCAGGATCAAGGAGTATAAAGTAACCAAATGTGTGTGTGAGAGCGAGGGGGGCCGACCCCTTCAGCAAGGCCCATTCATCGTCCTGAGGAGGAGAGGCTGGGTGGTGGGTGGCCTGCATGCAGGTGTGATGGCGGGGCTGCCGGCGGCTGATTGAGGCGTTTAGTTGCGGGGAGGGACTGAGAACACGGTACAAGGGGAGGGAGTCTTGGGCATCTCCCCTTTTGCCCCCGCCCCTTCTAAGGGAGTCTAATTCTAGCTCAGGAAGGAGAGCTGTATTTCCTCAGGGACTGATGCCGTTTGGAGGTCCAGAACGTGGAAGTCATCAGTGAATCTGTGCGGGCCAAGCTGGGACGGTGGCTCATCCTCTGCCCTTCCTCTTTCCAGTGGGCAGCTGATGACGCACCTGGGTAGCGACTTTCCCCCTGGGGCTGGGGTGCTGGACCTCATGTACGAGTCCCCTTCCACACTGCTGTCCTGTGGCTATGACACCTATGTTCGATACTGGGACCTCCGAGCCAGTGTCAGGTGAGTGTGCCGGGCAGGAGGACAGATGGTGGGAGCCCTGTGCCAGTCCCGGTAGGAGAAGGTACAGAAACTCCACATCAGGGGCAGCCAGCAAGGTAAGACCAAGCTTAGACTCCTCGCCTTGGGCAGCCCTGGCCTCGAGGCCTTGGAGGCCGTAGGCGCCAGGCCCTGGTAAGAGCCTTGGCCGCTGTCAGGGTGCCGCCCTCCGCATCCTGCCCCAGCCTTTCTTGAGGCCCTTCCACCTCTCTAGGGCCCTGTAAGTCCTGTGGCACGGAGTCAGCTGTGTGAAACACAAACGAGGGCATAGTCTACTCCGGGGTCTGGGGCTTGGTGAGAAAGAGCGCTTTACTGAGGAGGCGTTCCCCCATTAAAGCTGGTTGTTAGAGAATTTGGTGATTCAGCTTCTCTCTCTCCCAGCCAGAACGGGGAGGTGGGGGTGGAGGTGGAAGGTACCTGAAGCTCCTCCCGCATCTCCCCGTCCTGCACAGGAAGTGTGTCATGGAGTGGGAGGAGCCCCACGACAGCACCCTGTACTGCTTGCAGACAGATGGGAACCACTTGCTGGCCACAGGTTCCTCCTACTACGGCGTCGTGCGACTTTGGGACCGGCGCCAAAGGGCCTGCCTACATGTAAGCATCCCACCCACCTCACTCCCCCCAAAACCCAGGACTCATTCCTACAGGCTGCACCCGGGAGTGGGTGGGCCTGGGAATCCTGGTTTTGGGCTCCCCCTACCCTGGGCCACTCCTGCCAGCCTTGCGCGCCCCCTTGCAGGCCTTCCCGCTGACGTCGACACCCCAGAGCAGCCCTGTCTACTGCCTGCGCTTCACCACCAAGCATCTCTACGCTGCACTGGCTTACAACCTCCACGTTCTGGACTTTCAAAACCCGTGACAGTCAGGGCCACCCCAGCCTGTGGGCCAGGAAAGCCAGCTACTCAGGGACCTATCCTGCTCGGAGGGTGCAGCGATAACTCCTTCCCACCCCCGTGCCTGTGCTCCCAGACCTGCGACCACAGTGCTCAGGCCCTTAAGCTAAAGGCTGCTGACTCCTGGGGACCTGGGTAACCCAGAGGCATGGTCTCTCCCAAGAACCATTTGGAGAGAAGGGACCTGCTGCTTTGGGAGAGTGAAGCTGAACCCACTGAGCCTTGCTTTCCTGTTGGCCAGAGCAAGGATCTGGCCTGCAGAGGCACCCCCAGTACCCCTCCGCTCCTCGGAGCCAGGATAGCTTAGAGGGAGGTGCGGTGCTCCGGCCTTTCCAGTGGTCTCATTGCGTCCTTGCCCTGGAAGGAGGGCTGAGGCTGCCAGTGCCCCTGCTGGCACCAGCGCCCCCCCTCCTCAGTCAGACCCCGCCCTGGATCAAGCTTTTGGGGCTAAAGACTCATTCCTGGGGCACTGTGGCCTGGTCTTCCTTTGACACCAAGAAAGGACAAAGGAAACCCAGCAGTTTTGAGTTCTAAGCCATCCCAGCCTCAGGCCGGCTGTTGAGTCGTGCTACAATGTTCATTTTTGTAAAAATAAAGCTTAATTGTTCACAGACCTGGTTCCTCACTGGCCGGGGACTCCTGGGAGGCCCCAAGGAGAGGGGACAACAGATTCAAATTTAGAGATGTGCATGCTGGGGAAAGGGTAAGACCAGTCTCGAGGCTCAGTGTCCCAAAGAACAAAGGTTTCTTTCTTTTTCAGGACACCCCCTCATTGACCATATACCCCTTTGGCCCTGCTGGTGGGGTGGGTGTCACCTGGAGGGTATGGAGAGGGGACCATCAGAGGCTCAGGCGGTGTCCATCTGCGGTGACCCTTCCTTACTCCAGCCTGACACGCACATGCTCTTTACAAGGGAACCACGCTTATTCTGGCTTTTCACCCACAGTGTCTTCGCATCCTAAGCTCCATGTTCGAGGTTTCTGCATTTTAAAATAAAAACTTCTCCCTCACCCACCCGTATCTTAGGGAGTTCCTCTGGGCCACGTCTGCAAGCCCAGTTGTCTTCTGAGTTTATGCAAACAGGCTGGGGAAGATGCTAGCCCTCCGCAGCTGGGTCAGGGTCCCCTCACCTGCTTCGCCATCTAAGGCCCACACCTCCCTTTCTACAGAAGGCTTTATGTGGAAGGTCCGTAAGATAGAGAAGGGCATGTCACTGCCGGCACCCTCCGGGGGCACAGAAGCATACAGAAGCGGAAAGAGGGCAGTGACTCAGAATGAGTTTACTCAGGAGACAAGGCCACGATGGGGCAAGGAGTGCCCGAGGCCCAGTTTTTGCAGAGCCTGGAAGAGAAGAGGCCACCCCCGTGCCAGGGCGGCCGGCCGCGAAGCCCTGCCTACTGGCAGGAAGAGCCTCGCCACGCTCCACGCTGAGGTGCGGGCTCAGGGGTGCACTACTGGGTCTTGCAGTCCCCGTCACTGCTGTGGGCCATCTTTACCTTCTTCAGCATCTCCTGCAGCTCTGACTCAGCCACGAGGACCTCCTTTGGCTTCTGGTACTGTAGATGGAGCCAGGAAGAGGACATAATTCAGTCACTTCTCCCCATTCTCTCTCTCACACACTCGGGGCCCCTTCTGATCCCTTTATTCACAAATGAGGAAATTGAGGCCTACAGGGTTCAACTGTTTGCTCAAGGTCACATGACTGGGTAGGAACAGGCCTTGAACGAGAACCCCAGTTCTGTGACTTCCGCCCTTCACCGTCCCGCTCTGTCCTCTCCTAGCTGCGAGCCCCGGCGCTGCTCTCCCCATGCTGAGGCGGAGGAGCCTGCTCTGTAGCGAGCGCACCCCAAGGGTTAGGGTGGAAACTGGGGACTCCTGTGGAATGAGAAGCGGGCAGGGAAAGTGGGAGCCTCTCCCTGGTGCAGTGGCCTGGGTGCATCTTACGGAGATGATCAGGGTGCAGTTGGCATAAGCAAAGCTCAGCAAAGAATCATCCAGAGGTAGCTGGTATCTGTCCAGATCAGGAATGGAGAACTTCTTGTAGTACCTGTGGGGACACAAAGGGGCCTTTGGGACATCCAACAAGGTTACCCTGGGCATCAGGCCTTGTGCTGCCAAACTTCCACAGTTTTCTCAAACCCTCCAATAGCCAGAGAGGCAGGGAAGCCAGTTTGAACACCAGCATTTTGGAGCTTAGTGGCCCTAGAAAGAATGACAGGCCTTCTGGCCAGTCCAGAGGTAAAAGAGCAGATTGATCATGATTCCTTAACTAGACCAAGGGTTGGAGGGACTCATACTCAGGCTTGGGACTACCAAAGATGAGGCGGAAACACGGAATATGCAGATAGCCCAAGCAAGCAGACCTCCTCTGTACCCCAAGAAAATGGGACATGTGGACTAACAAGGGACAGAATAGAGGCTGTACCCTCAAACTGGGGACAGACAGTTGCCATTTATGTGAGATTTCCCCTGATGGTCTCAGCTACCTTTTCCTCTCTCGGGGTCTCTCAAGGCCTAATTAGCTTGTAGGCCAGATAGGGAAGTATGTCCACAGGAGAAAGCTGCCCGAGGGGACCACCACGTGACCCCTCGCAGAGGCTGGACCCCAGACCCGGAGCCAGTTCTCCGCTTTCACACACCACACATACCACTCTCATCTGCAGGTGCCAGTCCAGAGATTAATGATCCCTTTTAGCAAAAAAACAAACAAACAAAAAAAACCCACCCCAGATAGCAACACCAAGTCCGTAACATGTGTAACTGGACTTTGTTTTGCAGGAAATTTGACCTTTACCAAAGAGGAAACTTGGGCTCAGAGAGGCGGAATGTCTTGCCTCGTTTCACAGCCAAGCATCAGTAGAGTGAGGACCGCCATTTCTTGCTCCTGGGTTGGTGCTTATCACACCAGAGCACAAGGGATGGCCTGCTCATCATCTCTAGCAACAGGCCCATTTGGCATTCTCCCTAGTGGAAGCGCAGCTAGGCGCTGTCAGCGGCCGCCAGACCTGTCACCCGGGCGGGCGGGCGGGCGCAGCGGCACCGCTGCCCTGCCGCTGCCGAGGATGTGTGGGCTGGGAAGGGAAGCGCCGCAGGCAGGCACAAACAAACTCAAGTGAGGGGCCTGGAGAGGATGGGGCTTTTAGTACTTCAGAGGAGCCTGGTCCTTGTGGTGACAGCTACCTCGAGTCCACTTCAAAAGCCCTGATGCCCTGGGGACTCAGAGAGTTGACATCAATGCAGTACTTTGGCCCTGCTCTCCCTGCCCAAATCCCTCAGTTGAGCAGAGGCTCTCCTCCCAGGTTCCGCGCTCCCCGCCAAGGTGCTGGGACCCACGGCAGGAAAAGAATGTTTACTTAAAGGCTGACAGTTCAAAAGGAGTGGGGGCTGGGAGATCCTAATGGCACCACAGGTTTGCTTTATTTTCCAAAGCTCTGCCCCAGGGAAAGGCGATCCATCTGCCTGCAGACCGGGGTGGAATGCTGGCCTCATCCTCCTCCTATCCAGCCCAGGCTGAGGTCTTTTCCTGGGGCCCTTGGTCTGGCCAGCAAAGGTGGCAGACACTGATAATAGGGGGGAGTCAAAGGTTAAACAGAAAAGATTAGATGAACACAAAGGCTTGTTAGGAAGTGTTAACATCTTCCTTGCAAATATACACAAGAAGCTGAACTGGGAGAGAAGCAGCCCAGGCGCATGCAGCCCAGCCAAACCCCAGGGGCCTGTGTAAGGCCTTGCCCTGAAGACCATGGGGGCACCCTTTCTACCGACTTGGCTTGTGCGGTGGTGGGACAGGGGTACTCTCAAGCCACATGCCCAGGCCGGGGCAGTGGGACTAGAAAAAGACTTCTGGAGCGTGGCCTCAATGGCAATGGTGGCAACAACGTCAAAGAGAACTTGAGGTGCGTGGCTGGCCCCTTTCTCTGTCCTACACCCACGTCCTTCCGCGAGACTTCTCACCAGGCTAGGGGAACGGAAATGGTGCGTCTGGAGACTCAGCTTTGTCTTGAGTCTCTTGTAATGGCTTTAGTTTATTGGTTGAGGTTAAACAATTTTCCTCGGAAGCTCCTAACAGGCAGTGTTCAAAGGAGTAAGGGCATCTCTCCTCAGGGAACAGCCCCCACCCACCCATCCCTCATTTCCTTACCTTGGGGTTTGCCTCGAAGGGAACTGCACTTGACTTTCTCACCAGCACATGGACTGGAGAGAGACCCACTGTGTTCCTGCAGAAGCCAGAACACTCAACCTCAGGCAGCCCTAGGTAGGCAGCACGCATTTCTTAGGCATCAGCTGTGTCCCAGGCCTTGAGCTGTGAGCTCAGAATTTAAGGATGAAGAAGAAACAAGGCCATATCCCTGCCTGAGGAGGCCATGTCATGTTTCTGCTAAAAGTTAAACTCTTAAAAAAATTTTCCTTATTGATTTGTTTTTAGAGAGAGGGGAAGGGAAGGAGAAAGAGAGGGAGAGAAATATCAATGTGTGGTTGCCTCTCGCACACCTCCTACTAGGGACCTGACCCACATCCCAGGCATGTGCCCTGACTGGGAATCAAACTGGTGACCCTTTGGTTCACAGGCCAGCACACAATCCACTGAGCCACACCAGCCAGGGCTAAAAGTTAAGCTCTTTATAGCAGATGGTTCCTGGGCTTTCTGAAGATGCCCCAACACACCCCCAATTCCATCTCCCTTCATTGCTCTCCGTCTCAGTCACACAATGAGAAGTGACATTTATTAATACTTATTCTGTGCCAGTCACTGTTCTATACTCATTGAATCCTCAAAACAACCCTCTCAGGTTGGTTACTTCTATTACTCTCTTTTACAGAAGAGGAGACTGAGGCACAGAAAAGTTAGATATCTTGTACAAGTCACAAAACTAGTAAATAGAGATGCTCTAATAACAAATAATAATTCCCCAACTTCCTGACCCTTCCGTCTTCCTACAGTCTCGCTTCTAAGTAACAGACCACCTGGTCTAAGCTCCCTGCATCTGTCCAAGGACAGGGCAGATGAGGGAGGTGGTCCCCCCAGGGACCCAGCCACCTTGCAGGTCCCCGCAGCACACTTAACACATGATGGTCTTCCTTTCTGAGTCTCAAAAGTGTTCAAAAGACGTGTGTGGGAGCAAAAGCGCTCAGGGGGACTCCCGGCCCTGCCCTGGGAAGCCCACTTGGCTTTGGGCCTCAGTTTCTTCCCCAGATAAAGGAGCTGCCCTAGATAAGCTCTCAGCCCACAGGGGCCAGGCCAACAGGCTAGAATAGGCCAGCTTGCTTCTTCAATGTGTGCCAATAGGACGGCTCCTGTTTGGGCTGTTTCAGACACGACCTACCAGCCCAGGCCAGGTGGCTCAGGTGGTTGGAGCATTATCCCATACACCAAAAGGTTGTGGGTTTGATCTCCTTTAAGGGTCCGTACCGAGATTGCGGGCTCGACCCCCTAGTCAGAGCGCGTGCAGGAGGCAACGATCAATGTTTCTCTGTCTCTGTCTCTCTCTCCCTTCCTCTCTAAAAATCAATAAACGTATCCTCAAGTGAGGATTATTAAAAAAAGAAGACATGGCCTACCACACCCCATCACTCTCTCTTCCCACTGTATTGCCTTCCCAATCCCCAGTCCCTTCCCAGCCCACTCTCCCTTGCAGTGAAGTGGGAGCACACGGAGCCCAGGTCTCCAGAGAGACACTGGAGGACAGGCTGCAAGTAGAAGCAGGGACACGGTAGACAGTCATACGGGCCATGCCCCACACACCTCTAGGGGGCATCCCGTACAACTGTACACAGGGCTGGTTAGAGCAGGCCACAGAAGCCTCCAGCAGCCCTTAGAAAACCAATAGGCAAATCTTCCTTCCTTCTGAAACATCAAAGCCCTGGGCAGACACTACAGCCCTGCCTACAGCAGCCCCTCCCGGAGAGTCACAATACACATTGACATATTAAAGGCTCTCAGCAGTCCTACCAAAGAAAAACTAGTTTAATACAGAGTTCCTTAAACTTGGTTCAGCATAGAACCCTTTTTTCTAGCAATGTCTGTTAACATCTCCAAGAGTGTTAGTGTCACCGATGTCAAATCAGCCAAGCTCCCTTCACATTCCAATTTCCAAAGGATTGTTGAGGACCTACTTATGGCTGGCCACCACATTGGGCATTTGTACATACGTGATTCCATCCAATTCCCCAATCTGTGAAAAAGGTATGAGTATTCTCCTGAGATGGACGAGGAAACCTTGCATAAAATAGTACGACTAATACGTGGCAAAGGCCAGACTTAAGCCAACACCCTCCCACTCCAGCACCCTGCCTCATTCCACTTACAGCTGCCAGCTTCTAGGCTGAGGCTAAGAACCTTCTTTTTGCACAAATGCTCTTAACAGGAACAGATGGTGCCACACTGGGATCCTGGAAAAGCACTTTCTTCCTTCCCTCACTAATATCTGAGGCCAAGCACATGATACACTGGAATCAATTCCTTCAAGAAAAGTCGCCAGCCTAGCCCTGGCCAGGTAGCTCATTTGGTTAGAGCGTCATTGCAATATGCCAAGGTTGTGGGTTCAATCCTCTGTCAGGGTACATACAAGGGTCAACCAATGAATGCACAAATAAGTGGAAGAACAAGTCACTATTTCTCTCCCTTTCTGCCTCTCCCCACCCTTCCTCTCTCTCTCTCTAAAATCAATAAATAAAAAAAATTAAAAAAAGAAAAATGTAGCCATCCCAGTTCTTCAGGGTCAAGGCAGGTATGGACAAAAGAAATCTGGTTTTTACTAGAACCACATTCCAGAATATTAGAACTGGGGCAGGCATGGAACCGTCAGGTGAACGAAGAAGCAAATAAGAGAAACGCTGTGGCGGGGTGGAACTGCAGACGCCTGGGCTCTGAGACCATTACTAACTTTACCTTTGGCAAGTCAGTTCATCATGCTGACCCTACAGATCCACTTAGGTAATCATTCATATATAATACAAGAATAAAAATATGTGCCCTGCCCACCTCTGGACAAGTATGATAATCAGAAAACAGATTTTTAAAGTATTCTGAAGAAGTTAAGCATTGCTCAAAGGAAAGGCCATTAAGCTCTGTTTAATTAGTGGTAGTAAAGGTATGGAACACATTACCACTCCAGAGAGAAGATGAAAATGCCAGTAAACTCAGGATGAAGGGTTTAGTGATCCCGCTCACCTACCTCCCTGCAGAGGGACCTGAGGAAGGCTGGGCAGAGCTGGGCTGGGCCGCCAGACCAGCTGCTCAGCGCTGGCTTCCAAGTGGGCACTGACAAACTCCCCTCCCTTCCAGTCTCTGGCCCTGTCCCCTCTGAAGGCACTACTCCCGTCCCACCTGGCCTCACCCTTCAGTTCAAAAATGTCCCCCCAGCCCCTTGGGCACTGGAGTGGGCCTTCGGCCACGGAGCTCCTGGCCAACAGCGCCACCTATGGCTGGATACGTGCAGGAGATGGGACCCAGAGGATCTGGCCTCGGATGAATTTTCTGGTGAGCTGGTTCGCCTCTCTTCTCTCACTCCCTGGTAATCACATTTCTGCCTGATATCTGTATTCGACAGTGACCTCTGGGGGACGAAAGGGAGGCAGCAGCCAGCTCCACAAACTGCTGGGCTGCAGATTCAAGTGCTATCAGAAGCACTTTTGTTCCCAGTTTGGACCCAAGGCCTCTTACGCCAGGGAATGCTTGCTGAAGTACGGAGTTTGTTTTCCTAAAGGCAATTTCTCAGTTGCCTGAAATTGCTAAATTCCACTTTAGGCACTGACTCCTGTTAATGATGAGAACAATAACAGGAATAAAGTGCCTTTTGTCTGAGGGCTTCAAAGTGCTTTATAAACGCAAACCCTTATTATTATGACTTTATATTTATAGACAAGGCCCACTGCAGGGCCTGCTGGCTGCATGTACAGCAATAATCCTGAAATTAATTCATTCATCTCCACCCTTTCCCAGTCTCCTTAACCCTGCCAAAGTGACAGGGTGGGGGGCGGGGGGTCATAAAAAGTGGGCAGGACCCAGGGCTGCACTTGGGGAGCCTGGGAACCACTCTGCTTCTCTGTGGGCCTTGAGGGCCTGAGGGATAGGGGAGGGGAGGCTGGCACCACACCGTCTGAGAAGATGGACAAACAGCCAGGTCTTCCTTAATGCACGTAAACCAGTAAGGTTAGCGAAATTAAGCTTAGCGCCCTAAGAGGCATGTTAGGTGGCTTCAAAGCTTGTGGGCCAGTAGCTCATAAAACCTTCCATTTCAATGCCCCAAATAGACGTCAGGGGAGTTGGCCCTACATTGCAATCCCGCTGGCCTGCAGCAAGACTGATTAGTGGCAGGGCTCTTCTTTTTCCTGTGATCAGTCAGAGCTCCAGAAACCCAAATAGGATCAACACATTTCCAAGACGGTCAGCCCGGAAGCAGCCCTGCAGGGATCAAATGTCCACCTCGGCCACCTCTGTGCCGTCAACCCCACCTTTTGCCTCCCCCTAGCAGACCACAACGACAGGAGCAAAGGGGAGGTGAGTGCCCCTTGTGAAACATAATGTGAGAGACTTTCAAGCGGCCCAAGCACCTGCCCACTGTCCCTCAGTCCAGGGAGGGGTCAGGTTTGCTGCTCCTAGACCAATACTTCAAAGTCCTGTAACTGCCACCTCAGACAGGTGGGCCTTCCAGGCCCTAGCTCCCTCCCAGGCCAGCTCCAACAGTGGTATCACCTGGCCAAGCTCACTATGGACTGGATCCGGCCAGAGGTCAAGGCCACAATGATCTTACAACAGAAGCACCTAAGAGCGCAAGTTAGTAACTAGGTGATCCCCTCATCATTCATTCAAAAAATATTTATTGAGCCCTAGTATATGCCACATACTAGACCAGACACTTGTTCAAACTTCCTTGCCTTGATGAAGCTGATTACATTATTATAGCTGGTCCTGCAGGGAGGAAGCCCTTCAGCGTTTGCCGTCTTCTGGGGTTTCTGAGCAGCCCCCCTCCCTTCGTCCCTCAGAGCTGGGAGAGGAGGCTTCTCTGCCCCCGCCCCCCCCGGGTAGGGAGGAGTCTGAGCCCTAAGCCAAGTCCAACCCCACCCACATCCAGCTGACACGCAGGCAGGCCACTGCCAACTTCGCTGCTTACTTTTTGTTGGTTGTTCTGACAACAACGCAGCGCTCCTTCTGGTCCACACAGACACTGTAGACATCCTTAGGATAGGGAAGGTTTCGAATCCGCCACTGGAAACACACCTTGGTGTCCTTGCGCATGAAGACAGGCTGCAGAAGGCAAATCCAACTCTAGGACTGTTCTTGGGGAGGGGCAGGAAGGGATGGCTCCCCCCCACAAACCTCTGCCCTCAGGCACAACGGGAGGCCCTCAGCTCTTCTCAGCTCCCCTCTGGTGCTTCTGTCGCTGTGACATTCCAGGCCTAGGGCCCTTGCCCTGGGATGACCAAGCAAAAACCCTTGGGCATTCATTCAGGCAAACACTTCTCGAGCAGTGTGGGCACAAGGCATGGTCCCCGTCCTCAAGAGCTGGCAGCCCACTCCCCACTCAGCCCCGCCTCCCCAAGACACCTGACAGATAAACATACATTGGCATTGCTTTCCTTGATGAGTTCAGGCGCCGGGTTCCCTGCTCCATGGAGTGCTGGCTCTCCCACCTCAATCTGCCACTGGCCCAAGGCTCCTAGGGTGCTTTTTACACGCCATTTTCTTACTGGAGAGAGAAAGCAGAAATAGGATTATGGGCAAGAAAGGGGCTCTGCTCTTTTCTGCTGAATCGTCAGCCTCACATTAGGTGAGGGGAAGGGCATGCACGCGGGGGCTTCAGGCCCCTTTGCACCGGCTTTGTCCATCGGAGCGCAGCTCCGCAAGAAGCCAGGTGGAGCTAAGAAACCCCCGCCCCCAGCAGTGGCTCCCGGCAAGGGGGAAATGTGAGGGCTGGGAAAAGAGCAGCTACTGGTAATTGGGGAAATTTGGATCCCAAAATGAGTGAGTTGACATGCATTTTTTTCCCCCTGAAAATGTGCAAAGGAAAAAATGAATTAAGAGGGTGAAAGCTGATAGGCAGATTTGTCTCACGATTCGGGAAGTCCAAATATAGAAATTCACTCATTTCAGGTATACCCGAAGAAAATTAGGCATACGCCATATTTTAAATTCATTATTTATATAGGATGTAATGTTTTTTGTGAAGAATTATCCTTTTATAATGCAAACAACTATCTCTATTTTACCTTGTTTTACAAGCCAGATGCTTGCATAAAGCTTTTCTTTCTTCTTCAAGTAAAGAACATACATTATAGAAATGATAAGTGAAAAAACTAGCTCAACGGACTTCGCCTGAAAAGCCGCCCCCCCCTACCCCCCACCCACCGCCCCGGGAAGCCCGTGCGGCCGAGTCACCAGGACGTCACCATGGGGCAGCCCACCACTGCCGCGCACCCTCTGCACCTGTAACCTCTCTGTGCCTTTCCCTTCCTGCTGCGCTGGGTGTGCTCCAGCCCGGGCGGCCCCGCGGTCGCTTAAGGCCGGCAGCCTTCCTGATGCTGCTGTTAGGAGCTGAACAACTGCAACAGGGCCAGGGGTTCTGCTGCAGCTATTCCGACGAGCTGCTTTTCCTGGGCTGGCAGGGGCGCGGGGCGCGGAGCGGGGGTGGGGGGGGCGCCAGGGCAGGGATGAGAGCTGCAGCCTGATCCTCTAAATCAGGGGAGCGGCGCGTTTGAGACCTTTTGAGCAGCTGTGCCAAACCCAAACACCCTCACTGCTCTAAGTAAGGCACGCAAGCTGAACACCAAAGTGTGCTGTAAAATTAGAATTTTCCCTTGAATGTGTGCTTTTACAAGGTCTGGTGCATTCTGCAGTGTGATTTTATTACGTCTTAGGGCCAAAAATTCTCCCTAGAAACACATTTCCAAGTTTATAATGAAAATTAATATGGAAGAGTAAAACTTGGAAATATGCTTTATAGGCAACTTTTTTTTTTTTTCACAAATACTTCTACTCTTTTAAGTGAATGGACTGTGACCAGGAGTATATCCAAATCTATTCATGTAATACAGCACCTCGCGTAACTGGAAGCCAGCCTTCTGGGGGCCTCTGTCACAGCCACAAACTCAGAAGTGACAAATGCCTCCAAGCTGCGGCTTATTGTGACAAGACCCACACACCTCACTCTGTACTGTAGGGAAGATCACTCCTGGATTCTCACTCAGACTCTGTATATAAAACACTACGTGTAGAATACGGCAGGAAATTAATTGTTTTCCCAGGCACATTGGCAATTGCATGAGGGGACAGCTCACCTCAGAGGGCAGTGTCAGAACTACAAAGCACAGGGGACCATTCAGTGTGATGGCAAGCGAGCACCCTTAGACCCTGAGGGGATTGCTATACAGTGAAGCGCAGCCATCACAGATCTTAAAGGTGGAGGTTCGTTCAGAAAGCATCTAGTCCGAAACCTGTGTTTTTTAAATGAGAAGCAGCATTTCTTCCCTTGCCACCCCTCTGCAGGGGACAGAGTATGAGGAACTATCAAGGCTCAGAGAGGTAAACTAACTGGCAAAAGCCAGTTAAAAATTCAGGCCTCTTAATTCCAAGTCAAGAATTTGAATCATTATTAAAAGACTAAAATTATACTCTATAAATATTTGATAACAATGTATAATGTTTAGAAAGATTTCTATTTTTTTTAAGTAGCTCTATTTCTCTTTTTATATTTTAGCCTTGAAAGGAAAAACTTTGATTATTTGAAAATATAATTTATGAGGTGTACCTAATTATCTGGGGCTGGATAGTAAGGTGCTCCTCTAACCACGGGACTTGTTAAATCCTATGTCCTGAAGCTTGATACCAGTATGGCCAGGAGAGGCAATTCTGACCCCAGGATTTCCTGTCTTTTCTTTTACCCCAAGGAAATGTTGGCTTTTGCACCTAAACCTTCCCAAGGAGCCCACTGCACAGGAGGAAAATTAGCTCCTCACTTCTTTACTACTGACCTTCAAAAGCTGCTCAGGTTACAGGAACCTGGCACCTTTGACTGTTGCAGCTCTTGGAAAAAAAAAAAAAAATCTTGGGATTAAATTCTTTGTTAGAATGCAGAAGTGTCCCTACTCATTCCATTACGAGATCCAATAAATGATTTTGGTGAAGTCCTGGTTATTTTTTCCCATGGACGTGGACATGAACGCACACATGCAAATCCACATTTTGTATTTCTTGTCCTGTCTTTGTTCCTGAACTCAAGGACAGCTCCTGCGGCAACAGAAGAGTGTTTCCACCTGCTGTCACTCTGATTTGATTATATGTTAAACCCAAACTGGTGTGTGCAAGGCAGCTCCCTGGGACGCTGTCATATCTTCCGGCCGAGCCAGGGCCAGTCCTTGGAAAGGAGACTTTCAGCGACCCTATAAAGGGTCTGATGGGGAGTATAGGAAGGAAGCAGTGCCTGGGGGCTTTTTCCTAAGTCAGCAGGAAGCAGGCTGATGTCCCAGGCCGCTAGCTGAAAGGAGGCCCCGTCTTTCAGGTGGGCTGGAAAGTGGAGGTCCTAAAGGCCTTTCTCCCCAAAGCTCCAAGCCCTGGCCCACTTCCAATGTGGATAATTACATTCCCCCTTCCTAAATACTCCCTGCAGCTTAAACTGGATGTAGGATTCTTCTCTTCTGCCCTAAAACACTGCAACATTGCTGTGTGGCTATTAAACAGCTGCCACGTCCCATCCCTAAGGAGGCTGAAGGGAATCGAGTGGGTCATTTATAAAGCTGGTGAAGTGCTTGGGGATGAAAGTGCTCAATATCCTCCAAATGCAGCCTGGGGTGGTTAGGCTGGCGGTCAAATACCAAAGCAGATTAGGCCGATAATCCAAATGTAATCGCTGGGGGATCGCCTGCCCTTCAGCCTCTGCCCCCCCCCCCCCAGACACGCTGTGCTCTACTGGGGCTGGTTTGATGTTCCGATCATTGTTACAGGGCCCTTCAGTTTTTTCCTCTATGAATACATACGGCATTCATTGCAGGGGGTAGGAATGAACAGCACTGACAGAGTAGAAAAAAATATGACACCGCTATGCTTAGTATCACAGAGTAAAAGAACTCCATCCTAGACAGATGCACTATTGGCAGTTCTTCCCCTGGAAATTACTTTCTCAGTTTTTCTAACAGAATACCAGTTTCACCAATTATCAAATTTATATAATTAGCTTGAGAAAATGGAAATTATTCCCATTTATGGCCACAAAGACCCTGTCCATATTTTACTTCATAGAATGCACAAATAAAAAGCTCAGGCCCTGGGAGTATTTATATTTAAAAGTTAATAATGAACAGTATCTTGCAAGGGCGGCTGCCGGCAGCGCGGTGGGGTGGGGGCGGTGGGAGACGGGTGAGGAAAGGGGCAGCTGCCCCGCGGGCCTGGCGGTGCCCCCTGCCCGTCTCTGTCCTGCTCTCACCAGCCCCCACTCAGGTCGTTCTGAGGAGAGTAAAATTTAGTGAGAAGAAAATAAAGCAGGATTAAACCCTCTCAACTGCCAACGGTAAGCTGTGCTGGACTAAAGCATGGGCTCTTACTCAGACAGACCCAGGTTTAAATCCTGGCAACGGGCTCCTCAACAAGGTGCTTAACCTCTTGGAACGCCCTTTTTATTTTTTAACTGTAATATGGGAACAACAGTACCTACCTCAGCGGACTGTAGTGAGGATGATTACAGGAGATACTTCACACAGAGCACTTAGCATGGTGCCCAATAGAAGTTATGGCATTAACATCGTTATTAGGTAAACTTTAGACAAACATGTTCTCCTATGAACTTCCATTTCTGCTTTTTAGAAAAAGGAGTTACATTGCTTCTCGGCCTCTTGGCTAAGATCAAGTGCAGAAAAACGAGTTTGGAGCCTCTGTCTATTTCCCGCCTGCCAAGAGAAGTGACAGGTTCACGTAGGATGCTACAAATGAAGGAATCTGGGCTTTTTTCATTTTAATTTCATGCCCAAGCACAACGAGGAGGCCTGGGTTTTATTTGTTTGTTTGTTTTTATAGCCACAGCAGCTAGAGCTGTTCGATTCGCTCTGTGTGGAGGAGAGGTGACACGGCGGGCTGGTGGAGAGGAGCTGCGACTAGATTCTGGCCTGGTGGCGGTGGCGGTTAGCCCACGTGGCCTCTGCTTTCATAAGCTCGCCCCTGTTAGGCATTCCACGCTGTCACCCCCTGGGAGCGCTATAAATTACAATGCATTGTGAGGATATTACTACTGTATTGGTTTCCACCAAATCAGTGTCATATGCTAAACACATCAAGATTTTTAATAGCACCAGACTAAACCAATTGGGACTGGAGCCCAAGCAGCTCATAATAAGGAGGGATCAACACTTCACTCTGTGACTGAACATGCGCAGGACACACATTTTAAGACTGGAGACTAAGAGAATGCAAACCAGTGTAATCTGTGTTGTCGGTTCTGGACATTTATGAGCTGTCAGAAAAAGGGAAAAAGAAATTCCCTCACCAATGCTACCTGTCGATCAGACCCAGGAAGAAATTAAAGTCAAGGATAATGACAAGAAAATAACCCAGTCCATGATTCCATCATTGGTCTTAGCATTTCAGGTAGAACTTAATAAAGAGACTAACTCCCATTGCTGACAGCCTCAGGTCCTGGGTCAAAGAACCAGCCGCCTAGGTCTGGGAAGTCAGTTAATGCTGATGTGCAGGCCTGGGAACAGAGAATGGACAAATCAAATAATTCCCAGAAATCCAAGCTGGAGCCCCTCTTCATGAGCCTATTCTTAGAGGAAAAGAGCTGCAGGAACACAAACGATAATGCTACACAATTACCATTTCCAGCCCAGGCTCCCTGGCTCCCTGGCTCCCTTCGACTGAGACATTCTCCAAGTTAAGGGTCAATATTTAGTAGTGCTGCCTCTGAGACAAGGTCAGAAGCTGCTGCCTCTGACACCTGCTTGTTCTCACTGTGGTTTCAAAAAACAAGGCAAAAAACAAGCAAAAACAAATAACAAAACCAAAACCAAAACCCTGCAATGAAAAGCCTGCCCTTACCACTATTCAGCCTACAAGGCTCACTTCCAATTCCACCTTCTCTGTAAGAGAGATTTTTTCCCAACGATTCTCTACATTCCCATTCCTACCTTAGAAAAATTACCCACTCTCCCACTTTTTTGGAGATGGAATGGGATTTACTGGTCAAACTCCCACTCTGGTGTCCAGCCCTGGCCTCAGATTATTCTCAGGAACAATCCTGCCTCAAAGGCCTCAGTCTCCCCTAGCTTCCACATTTGCTGCTGAGCTCCTCCCTCAAGCCTCCGGCTAGGAGTGCGCTTAGGTCACCCCAAGTGTTCCTAAGGGCCCACTGGGAGCCCCTGTCACTTACCAAGTAGTTCCTTCGTCTTCTCATCATATTCTTCAGCCATTTCCTTCCCATCTGGGAACAAATAGTGCACCTTCCTTCTCCCTACACACAAAAGCAGAGAGTGCCTTAACCCCAAGCCTCCTCTTGCCTGGTGCTTTGCAGATCAGTGGGGTCCACCTGGGAAACACCAATGGCCCTGGGCATACTGAAAAACCCTCCCCGAGCCTCCCACTCCTTGCCAACCACCGCCCATCGCTGTCCTGGGATTCTCTTCTTTTCTGAAGCTATCTTTCAATGTATCTTTGCTCTGCTGTTTCCTCTGCCAGCAATAGCTCCACACTCCTTTCTATCTCTTGAACTCCTCACCCTTTAAAACCCAGCTCAGCGTCACTTCCGCTGGAAGTCTTCCTAAACTATCACCCCCAGCCACCTTGGCAAAATTTGCTTCCTTGTTTGTGCCTCTCTGATGCTTTATTCAGTGCAGCATTTACCACATAGCATGATACTTTTAAAAGCATCTAACTCTTCAGGAATGATATATTTATCTTTTTCTCCCCAGTTCCTAAAACAAGCCTATGTTTTCAGGATACTAACTGGGTTTCCCAACCAAGTACCCTCTAGCAAGGCCATTGCTCTGCCTTCTTCTGCACAGCTGTATGCTGTTCCTATCACATAGCCACACACTGTCAGTCTCCGTGTGTTTTCTTCATGGCATTTACCTTGGTTATTATGTTACATTTGTACGACTGATGACTGCCTGTCTCTTCTACTAAATAAGAGGGGTTTTATGTCCCCTGCCTATGGTTTTCCTAACACCAAGCATAGTACCTGGCGTATATCAGGAGCTCCACTAAATTCTCATTGAGAATGAACATTGATTCATCTTTCACTGAAAGAATGAAAGAACCCAAGGGAATATCCTAGCCCATCTCTTCCATCAATGTACTGTAACCATAAGCAGTTTTGTAAGAGTGGCTATGTCATTTCCCCTATTTTTAGGCAGGTACGTGGATATAGGCAGGCTCCTTGGTGAGACTAATGACAGAGGACTAATGCTCAGAAGGCAGGCCCAACATATATTTGATGACTATGAGCCCCAAGGCCCTTTACCAAAGGGCTAAGGGAGCCACTAACCAAAACCTGCAATGACATCCTCTCCACCAAGCCTTTTCCTGTCCAGTTCACTCCTCTGGGACATTGTTCTCTAGAGTTGTTCCTAATATATGCTGGGGAACTCACCCCCAAATCTGCATGTCTTTCTGCAGTCCCCTAGGTCACACCATCCTTAGTCATTCGGAGAGCTCGAAGAGCTGGGAGGGCTTTTTCTGTCAAGAGTGGGGTACAAGGTGTTGCCTATGAGTAGCTGAGGGTGCCTGGCCTGACCCTCTTCTCCCCCTGGAGTCCAGTCCTGAGTCCAGTCTTGAGGATGCAATGCTTACTTTTGGCCAAGGACTTTACATGTTTTATTGCATTTAATTCTCATAATAATCCTATGTGCCCCCATTCACGAATGAGGGAAATTGAGGCTTAAAAGTCATACTGTGTCCAAGGTCATAAAGCTAGGACACGATGGGCCCAGGATCAAACTCACTTGAGGCCAAAGTCCATGCGCTAATAACCATTCTAGGAGAATTTGTATGGTCTAAATATTTGTAAGGTTGACGCTGTTTCAGGGTTTACTGGTCGTGTTTCTAGTGAATTACCTGTGTAGGCCATAACCTATTTTATTGGGTATTCATGTTTTTCTTACTAATCTAACTGAGCTTTGGCTATATTAACTATGTGTCATATATGTTGCAAATAGTTTCAATTGCCTTTTAAGTTTGTTTAAAGTGAGTTTTCCCAAATAAGTGTTTAATTTTTATATAGTCAACTGTTTTTTCCTTTGTGGTTTCTACACAGAAGTTGTACTTAGAATATTCTCCCTTACCCAAAGATTATATAATATTTATTTATAGTTTAATACATATTTGTTATATAGGTATGTACATATGTATGTGAATATAAAAATTTTTAGGTATATTAGTATGATATTTTATTTAAAATATGTATGAGTATAGAAAAAATACGTAAGTGTATGTATGAAAATGCATATTAAGATTATCTCTGAATGATAGGGTTATGGCTGGCTTGTTCATTCTTCCTATTTCCACAATGAATATAAATTATTTCAGAAAAAAATATAAAGTGTATTGCATTCTCGTTACCAATAGCAGTGATTCTTGGTGGGAAGGAGGTAACATCCCCCACCTACCCCACCCCCACACACAGCAGGAGGGTAAATCTACAGGAGAGGGTTGACAAGGTGTATCCGTGTATTTAATAATGGTCTGCTTGTTGTCTTTTTCTCTCTGCTCTAGTACACAGCTCGGAACACAGTAAAGCCTCCTTAAATGCTGTGTTTATAAATGAGCAAATGAACAGCTGATTTTAATTTCCATGCTTCCCTTATTGGCCTGTGTCTGCAGTTGTGAATCTCTAGTAGGTGGCCTAAAAACTATAGAAATTAAGACCTAATTCATTCTGGCTCCCAAGTGGATCCAGGAAGGGACCTTTAAGTTTGGGGGAGAGGTGGGGGGCTACACCCAACACCCAACAACCCTAGAGTGACCGTCAGGATTCCATACCCCTGTGCCATCTCTTCCAGGCACAGCCCCTGGCCCTTGCTCTGTCTCCCCTGAAGACCCATGGAACATTTTAGAGCTTTACTTACAAACAATATTACAGCTGGAAAGACCCTCAGAGATAACAAGGAGCCCATCCAACTCATTTTACAGATGAGGAAAGTGAGGTCCAAACAAGTACGGGGACGACCGGAGAGCCCGGTGAATTAATGGAAAAGTCGTAAGTAGAACCCGAGGTCCCTCCACTTTCCATGACACCAGGCTGCCTTCAGCAATGGAACCCCAAGGCTGAGGTTCATGGGATCCCAGGTCAAGATGCAGTTGTACCACTGACTGGTTGGGGATCTGGGGCTGATCTAAAACCTTCTTGGATCAGTTGTCTCTTCTGTAAAATGGGGTGGAAAATTAACAGCCTTTTGGGACAGCGGTGAGGAGCAAATGACATAATGAATGTGAAAGGAATTACGCATTATTTATTAGTAACATAACTCCGAGCGGAGCGAGGTGGTACACAGGAAACTAGGGGGTGTCCACAGATGCGTGTTCCAGTTAGGCCATCTCTCTGGGCCTCAGTTTCCTCATCTGCAAATGCAGGATCTGGCTTGGGTGGGGGACGCGACCCTTCCAGCTCTGCCGTCCCAGGCTCTGAAGCCCTTTCCGGAGGTGCCAGCGCGGAGGGCCGGAGCCTAGGGTAAAGGTTAAGGGAACTTGCGGGGGACCTTGAGTTACCATCTTGCAGGAGAGCTGTCTTCTCGGCATCCCGCAGACTCTCCAGCCACCCTGTCACCGCCATCTTCCCTCCGCCCAGCAGTGCGCCCCGCCGCTACCATGGCGACCGTTCCGCCTAGGGTCACTTCCGGATGACCCGGAAATTGTTCTGGTCATTTTTTTTTTTTACCCCACCCCCCACCCCACCTCCCCCCGCCCCTCTCACTTCATCCGCTCTCATTGGCTACCCGGGTAAGTAAGTAGTAATTTACTCTTGCCCACCCTTCGGGTGTCTTGCTGGACCTGAAGTTAACGTTACCTCGGGCCGAATCCTCAGGGCAGCGTCCGGACTCGCCATCACTCTTCGGGCCCCCCAGCTGGGTGTCGCGAGTACGCTCCAGCTGCGTACCGCGGCTGGTACCCTACACCTGCTGGAGTCTTCTTTTACCCCCAGCTGTGAGGCCGAGACTCCCCGAATCCCGGAAGACTCTGCACACCTGCTGTGGCCTTGCCCCATCTTCCCGCAGCTGCGGATCTGAGCGCTCCCATGCCGAGAGGCCTGCAACCAGGGCAGGTACAGGGTATTTCACCTGCCTCCTTAACTTTCCCACACCACCAGGTTTTCTTCTGCGGGTCTGTGATGGGGATAGAGAAAGATTGTGTGGAGTTTGTGCAGATTCACCCAGTCTCTATTCTTTGGGAACCAAATCCTTTCTAAAGATTTAGCTCTATTTCCAAATTTAGCATCCCCTCTTGGGAATTCACCCCTTTGGGACTGCAGCAGGACAGACACTGCACTGAATCTTTAGAGTAACCCCCTCTGAGGAATGATACCGTTTGGAACCCCTCATTTCCCCCAATAATCTAACTTTGAAAGAGTGATGAGTGTAGAGCGAGGCTGAACCACTGAAGTTCAAATGGGTTTTGGGAGACTCTCGGTAACTGGGCTACTGCCTCCAAGGCCTGGTCCGTAGAGATCCTACCTCCATAGGCAAAGGGGTTGGAGAACCTCAATTCTGGGTTTCCTCATGGCTGCTGCCCCGATCAACCCTCAGACAGAAAGGCCAGGATCCAGCCATACCTCAATGGACCCCAGGGGCATCTTGAAGGCATTTCCCAAGCGGAAGAAATTTCATGCAAATCCATCACCAAAAGCACTTGCAAAGATTCCCAAGAAGGAAGACGGTGAAGGAGCAACAGGTGAGCAGACCTAATCTCAGAACCTTGGTGTGCTTGAACCTTTAGACTTTCTACATTGTTCTTGGCCAGAATCAGATACCAGAGCTGGCTCTGCCTGACCAGAGCCTGCAGGTTGGTTTATACCTGCCTTGTACTAGGCTTGGTCCCAGGTCTTTGACAGGCCCCTTGCTGTGTTATCTTCTGCCCCACCCTTAGACCGCCATCCATCAGAAAATACTCTCTGATTCCTAAGGAAACAAATGACCAGCAGAATCCTTCACTGTCCAGGAGATTGCCTGCAATGGGGGGTGGGGAGGGCCCAGAAATCCATCTTAGGTCCCCAGAGTTATCATGTATTTTGCAGCCAAATTGACAAATAGATGGCAGAGGCTTACACTGGATGGGAATGGAGGATCTATTAGACTGTGAGGCCTGTAATTGCAAGACATGTGTGCCTTGTGCCTGGTATATGGCAGGCATCTATTAATCTTTGTTGAACGAATAAGTGAGCAGATAGATTTATAGGATGCCTACAATGTGCTGGACACTGTTCCAGTTTACATGAGGGAACAGGACTTCTCAAAATCCTTGTCCCTTACATCAGGTGCTGGCCCATGAGGAAATTAACTGTGTGCTTGCGGTAGAGCCCCCAGAAGGCAGGCTGCCTGGATGGGAAGAAAATGATTGTTTGGGAGTAGGGGACTCTGATGGGATCATTTGGATCATGTCCGAAAGCTATGACACTAGGCATCTGGATGTCTCCTCCACAGAGTGGCTGAGCTCCCTGCGGGCCCATGTGGTGCCAACAGGCATTGGGCGAGCCCGGGCAGAACTCTTTGAGAAGCAGATTGTCCAACATGGCGGCCAGATACACTCTGCCCAGGCGCCAGGGGTCACTCATATTGTGGTGGATGACGACATGGACTGTGAGCGAGCCCTCCGCCTCCTTAAACTGCCCCGGCTGCCCCTGGGTGCGCAGCTGGTAAAGTCAGCCTGGCTGAGCCTGTGCTTGCAGGAGAGAAGATTGGTGGACACAGCAGGATTCAGCATCTCCACCCCCGACAGGTGGGCTGGTCCCAGACTTTTCTCAAATGTTTTCTGGCAGCGTCTTGAACTCTTTTCTTGAGTTATTAAAAACAACTCTCTTTGTCTTAATTGAGCACATTAGGAAACCAAGGTTTCCAAGTAGAGAAGGACTGGGAGCAGGGATAGGGTAAGACCTTTGATGTCTCATCTTCCCGTCACCAACCCTGCAGGTACCTGGCCCAACCACAGCTCAGTAAGGCAGACCAAGACTCTGCTACTCCTCCTGGAGCCTGTGAGGCTCTTCTCAGGACAGCCCCCTCTCCTCCCCCTACTCCCACTAGACCTGTATCTCCTCCCTGGAGAACAGAAGGAGCTCCAAGCACCCAAGCCCAGGTAAGGAGCCTTTCAGTCCCCACAGCTCCCATTCCCTGAGAACTAGATCACAGAAACATGAAGGGTCTAGTGGCTGTTCAGAAGGTCCAGGACCCCTGAGAGGGGAGGGATGTCTGTTGTGAAGCCATTTAGATGTTCCCAACACTTGTCACTCCTGTATTTGCCCAGATCACATCTACCACGTGCCACTGGGCATCCTAGGGCTAGGGCCGTCCCCACACTTAAGGAGACACAGGCCTGATGCAGAATGCCCAGCCTAATTCTTGGGTCTCACTAGGAGACTCAGCCACCACCTTCGGGGAGCATTCATGAAGGCTGTGAATTTATTGTCTCTTCTCCTTCCTTACCTCAAGCCCGGCTCTGATGAGGAAAGCAGTGATGGGGAAGAGACCCGGGTTAGTGCAGCTGATCTGGAAGCCCTGATTAGTGGCCGATACCCCGCCCCTCCTGAGGGAGATGGTGAGCCCAGCCCCGCCCCCGAGGGCCTGGATAAGTGGGTCTGTGCACAGCCTTCAAGCCAGAAGGCAACCAACCACAATGCCTACATCACAGAAAAGCTGGAAGTGCTGGCCAAAGCCTACAGTGTTCAGGGAGACAAATGGAGGGCCCTGGGCTATGCCAAGGCCATCAATGCTCTCAAGAGCTTCCACAAGCCTGTCGCCTCCTACCAGGTACCTGGGCGCCAGGGCAGGGTATGCAGGGTGTGGGATGTGGTCTCCTCTTCACTGGCTAGAGGTTGGTGGAGGCACCGGTCACAAGTGGGGATCAGGTGGAGTGGGTAACATGTTATGATGTCTGGAACTTGCACAAAAGGGAAAAAAAGGGGAGATTGATGAAAGATTGGCAAAATCTTGATAATTATAGAATCTAGTCAATGGTTACTTGGGGGTTTGTTACACTGTTCTGTCTACTTTGGAATTTTTTCCTTAATAAAGTTTTAAAAATGTTTAGACTCTGAAGGCCAACAGACCAAGGTTTGAATTCTGGTTTCTATCACTAATTGTGTGACTTTAGGCAAATTACTTAAACCGTTTGAGTGTCAGTTTCCTCACCAGTAAAAAGGGACTAAGAATAGTAACAAATTTGGTGCACTAAATTAGATGAGCTCCGTAGTGCATGACCCGTTACACAGCAGGCCTCAGTAAGTGTTAGCTCCCGCTGTTGTGACAGTGATGGGGAGTAGTATCTCAGCTTCCTGTGCTCATCTCCCTCCCCATGGGAACCAAAGACAAGTGAACCAGCCCATTCCATCCAAACGTCTCCTCTTCAGTCGTGTCCCCGCTTGACACGGCCACCAGCTGCGGAGCGGCCCCGCTGGCCTTCACGCAGACAGCTGCTGAGGGGGTCAGCATCCCCCCTCTGGCTCTCCGCCTCCCATCCCCTCACTCTTCTTCCCTGCCTCTCCAACCCCCTCCTCTAGGAGGCCTGCAGGATCCCTGGGATTGGGAAACGGATGGCTGAGAAGATCGTAGAGATCCTGGAGAGCGGACATCTGCGGAAGTTGGACTACATCAGTGATAGCGTGCCTGTCTTGGAACTCTTCTCTAATATTTGGGGAGCTGGAACCAAGACTGCCCAGATGTGGTACCATCAGGTCACACCTTGTCCCAAATGCCTCTCAGTGTCTCCGAACTCCTGACCTACTGTGCTCTGATGGGAAGGAACCCCCCAGATTACAGGGAGACTATTTTTCAAAGGGCCCAAGGCTCATGTAGACTCCTGTCCTAGCTCCAGAACTGCCCTGGAGCTTGGTGTACTTGAGGCATTCACCTGAGGCAGAGACAAGAAGTATATTTCTCTACCTCCCACACCAGCAAAGGCCTTTCTGAAGAGATCGGGCCTCAGGGCTGAGTATCCAGAGCCCAGGTGGGATCATGAGCCAATATTTTAGAATTTTGGCAGGGCTGAACTGGGGCTCGTCTTCCAGGACCCCGCCTTCTCCAAGTTCCATCGATTATAGACGCAGCTGCTCCTGGGGTTGGTGCTGTTACAAGTCTTCCTTGGAGTCTGGGGCCGATGGAAGCCTTGTGGGTGTGCACATCCGCCACCTCTCCCTTGGTCCTGCATCCTCAGAGTGCCCCTGCTTGTTTCTTTTCTCCAGGGTTTCCGAAGCTTAGAAGACATCCGCAACAAGGCCTCCCTGACTACCCAGCAGGCCATAGGCCTGAAGCATTACGATGACTTTCTGGAGCGCATTCCCAGAGAGGAGGCTGCAGAGATTGAGCAGACAGTAAGCAGGTGTCTCAGGGCATGAGCAGAGCCAGGCCCTGCCATGAGGTTAGGGCCTGGCTCAAAGCCAAGAACTCCTGCCCTCAGCTGGGGAGCCCAGCGGGCAGAGGCGGCTGTGGGCCACCAGAGGTTAGGAGCAGGGAGCAAAGAGCAAGTCGCGACTGAAGCTGTGAGCCCAGAGGAGGGGTGGGTGGCTTTGGTAGGGAAGGGCTGCAGAATCAGCTCCTTGGATTAGGGTTCTCAGTGGTCAGGCAGAGTAAGCATTCATTGGCTTATATGCTAGAAGGGTGTTGAGACTGGGTTCTTGTTGGGGTTAGACTAGAGATGGATTATAGTCAGAACTCCTTAAGGGTATTGAGGTTTGAACTGGGCTAGGTTAGGATAGGTCCCAGGGCAGAGGTTCTTAACGTTTTTTGATACACAAACTTCTTTGGGAACCTGGTGAAAACTGTGAACTCTTTCCTTTCAGAAGTTGTACAAATGTGTAGAGTCTTATATCTCTTTCCAGATGTATAGATTTTCTGAAGCCCACCTGTTTGGGTTAGAGCTTGCGAAGAAGCCCAGTGCTGGTAGGATTGGGTTTGGGGTTAGAAGAAAGCTAAATTAAGAGGTGGGTTAAGGCGAGGCCTGAATTAGGTATAGGGTTTTCTTAGTATTGGATGCTTTTAGTTAAGATTCATGGTTGTCCTAGAGATAAGGTTTGTCCAAGATGAGGGTTTCATTTAGAGTTGGGTTAGGGCTTGAGTTCATATAAAACCTAGATTACAGAGCAACCAGGGTTCATTTAGGGCTAGGTGTATCATTTCTTCAGTTGGCGTTAGGGTCGGGCTGGCCGCCGTGGGCAAGGCTTGCTCACAGTGGTCTCAGGTTCTGATCGGGTGGGACCCTCCGGACGGCTGAGCTGCAATCAGCCTTCAGCCCTTCCCCAGACCACAGGAATCTGAGGCCAGCAGAGGGTGGACGGCGGGCCCCTTTGTTCACCTGTCACCAGGCCTTGGTGGTAGTGACACCGTCACTCAGCCACGGTGTCCAGGCAAGCAGAATGCCCCAGCGAGCCTCTGGGCCCCCTGCCCACCTGGCCTGCTCCCCCTCCACTGGAGGGGTCCAGCCTTAGGAGTTTTTGATGGGATTACTCACCCTAGGCCTCCTCCCACCTTCTTGGGAGGCTCAAGAAGGGCGTGAGGGGATTAGCAGAACTGCCTGTCAGGAGAATTGAGGTGTCATGGTTGAAGGTATCCAGGACCCCAGAAATCTCGGTGTCCTGGGGTGGAGGCGGGAGGCCATCTGCATATGAAAGGCCTCGGTGCCTGTGGGGTAGGGGCTAATGAGCTTGTCCCTCTCAGTGCGGGAGGACCCTTAGGCTGACAGCTGCCTGACAGCTGCCTCTGCCACAGCTCTCTCCGTGCCTGGCCCCATTCCTCTGAGTGAGGGTGGGGAGGGCTCAGAATCACCTCTCTCCCCTCTCCTCCCGCCCCTCCCCTCCCCTCTCCCCTCCTCTCCTCTCCCCGTCCACTCCCCTCTGTTCCTCACCATCACAGGTGTAGTTATATTTCTGGGCTCCTCTTCCTCTTCCCAACTCTTCCCCCTCCACACAGGTGTCGTTACACTTCTGGGCTCCATTTCCCCCCATACTTGGGCCCAGGGCACCTGCCAGCCACCTGTTCAGGCTTCAGACCCCAAACCACACACTCTGTCTGTAGCACCAAATCCATAGATACCTGGGGCTGCTGAGACCCTGCTGAGGGCTTTCAGGTACCGGCCCTTTGTCCTAAGTGGAGTCTCACAGACCTGCACGTGGGTGTGGGCAGGGGCCAAGAGAAGCTGTGTCACCGTGCCCTGCAGGGGCCCAGGGGGAAGGATCAGAGCTCTCCTCAGCATCCCAGGGCGTCTCTTGTATCTCTCCTTAGGTGCCTCCCTCGGGGTGAGCGCGTTTCCTTCCCTTCTGTCCTGGCGTGCTCAGAGAACCGCTGCTCCCCAGGGTAGATTTCTGGCCTCTGCTCTCTGGGGCCCCTTTCCTCAGGCTTTCGTTGTGCATCCAGGGGTTGGTGTGAGGCGTGAGCCGCGAGCTGGGCCCCTGGGCCAGGGAAGGCCTTGTGCTGACACGCGGGAGGGATGCCCTGAAAGGCTAATGTCCCCTTGCTGCTCTGTCCTAGGTCCGGGAATCGGCTCAGGCCCTCAACCCCGGGCTGCTGTGCGTGGCCTGCGGTTCCTACCGACGGGGGAAGGTGACCTGTGGCGATGTCGACGTGCTCCTCACTCACCCGGATGGCCGATCGCACCAGGGAATCTTCAGTCGCCTCCTTGACAGCCTTCGGCAGCGAGGTATAAGCTCCACCTCTGGGTGCGCAGGTGGGCAGGGGCCGCGCAGGGCGAGGTGGTCCCTGGGAGGGAGAGCCTCAGAGTTGAAATGTCTAGGCAGGACGCAGGGGAAGGTTGTTTCATGAAATTCACCCCGTGGCCAGAGCCATTTCAGGGAAGAGATGAAACAGCCCCACACCACACAGGTGCTTCGTACCACGTGCAGGTTGAGTGTCTCACCTGATCTTTCTGTGACACTGTGGGGAATGGGAGGGGTTTTTATGCACATTTTACAGGTAAGGAGACAGGCCCAGAGAGGGCAAGGTCACCCAGCAAGGAAATGGGCGACCTGGGACTGGAGGGCCCAGGATGACCGAGGGAGAGCTGGGGCGCTGGGATGGCCCTGGGCCCGGTCCCCGCACCCCCAGCAGCCCTCTTGTGTTGGGCCAGGCTTCCTGACCGATGACTTGGTGAGCCAGGAGGACAATGGCCAGCAGCAGAAGTACCTGGGTGTGTGCCAGCTCCCGGGGCCGGGGCAACGGCACCGGCGACTGGACATCATCGTTGTGCCCTACAGCGAGTTTGCCTGTGCCCTGCTCTACTTCACCGGCTCTGCCCACTTCAACCGCTCCATGCGGGCTCTGGCCAAGACCAAGGGCATGAGCTTGTCGGAGCACGCCCTCAGCACAGGCGTGGTGCGGGGCACCCGAGGCCTCAAGGTCACGTCTGGCCGAGTGCTTCCCACCCCGACCGAGAAGGATGTCTTCAGTTTCCTAGGCCTCCCCTACCGAGAGCCAGCCGAGCGGGACTGGTGACCCATGGCTGGGCAGAGGGGACATCCAGCCGGGCCGGCGCCCCACCCGGCCATCCAGGATGCACCTCTAGCCTCAGCTGGCCGAGCCGCACTGCTTCACCTGCCAGCTCCCTGGGCCTGACGGGAAAGGCCAGCCTGGCTCCCAGGGTCTGCCCAGCTCTCCCCCGACAAGAGCAGGCTGCGCTGCCTCCTACAACACAGCTGCCCCTGGGAGAGTTTCGCACACGGCCCCTTGCCCCACTTTAAGCAGGAGCAGGTGGCTGGTGTGAGGCCAGCTCCCTGCGCGGAAGACGCAGGCAGCCCCCGTCCCTACGCTGAGGAGGGTCTAGCTGCAGGGGTGAGACGGGGGCTGCAGGGGAAGGCAAGCAGCTGTGGCCCGGCATTACCCATGACCCTTTGGAGCAGGAGAACAAGCTGTTCCACGTACTCCCTCCCACCCGCCCCGCTTCCTGTGCAGCTGGAGGTGTTGGGAGGGGGTGCCCCGGGCTCTGTGAGGACAGCATTTGAAGGCCCAGGGGCCCAGTAAAGCGCACTTGACATTCAACCTGCCTGGTGTCTGTGAGCTGCTGCAGCCCCAGCCTGCCTTCTTCCATCCAGGTGGGGATGGAGATGGGAGCTGGGTGGGAGCCCAAAAAGGCAACTCAACTGCTCTTCAAGGAGGCCAGGCCTGCGTCTACTCCTGAACTTAGAAGGGGACTGGTGGACGCTAAAAGGGCGAGTCCATGGAGTCAGACATGAGGAGTCCGTGTCCACCCATCAGCATCCCCTGTGGGCCCTGCCCTACAACAGGGTGTCTGGGAACATGAACAAAAGTGGCAAGGCCTGAGTAAGAACAACTACATGGTGACCCATGCGCCACGGACAGGGCTGAGGCAGTCAAGGAAGGCTGCCCGGAGGGGGCGAGGCGGTAGGCTGGCAGTGAAACAGCTTCTCTGAGGGGTAAGTAGGCCCTGGGCATAACTAAGGAACCCGCTGTAGAGGGGCTGTGGTGTGCTGGCAGCCGGGAGAAGGCTGGGCTGGTGCAGGACGGAAAGTCAAGCTGAGGGGCTTAGTTTGATAGAGCGGATAAGAGCAAGTCCGGCTGGTGGCATCGAGATCGTTTTCAGAGGCTGGACCTTGCAGGATGGACAATCTGTGAGGGATGTGGAGGGGTATGCAAGAAGGTTTCGGTGTCCTGAGTATGAGGGATGATGGGCACAGGCAGGAGAAGTTGGCTGTGTTGGAGGCGCCTGGTGACGGGCGGGGGAGGGGGTGGGTTTTGAGGCAGAGCGTGCAGGGAGCTCAGGAGGCAGAGATGGGCTCAAAGCTCTGTGCGCTCGCTGTGAGGCAGAGTAGGGCAGCTGCCGAGTGCTTCGTCTCTGTTGGCAACTTGCAGAGTCCCAGAGCTGGGCCGTTTTCCTGGTTTCAGTCGGGATTCCAGCAGCTTTAGAGTGGGCCCCCCAACTCTAGTTCAGAGCCCTGAAGTCTAAGCCACAGGGCCTTTGTCTGCATGGGTCATTCAGCAAAGGAACCAAAAGCCCATGGAGTCCAAGGACCCCTTTCACGCGGCTCAGCATCAGCCAGAGAGCTCCATCAAAGGCCCCGAAACCTGAGGGCTGAGCCTCTTCCCTCGGAGCGGCTACTCTCAGGGACATGTGGCTGCCCAGGGCCTGGAGCAGACAGAAGCTGGGAAATCCCCGGACCCCCAGGCCTTAGGGCTGCTTTCGTCCCCACCCCAGGTCTGGGCCCTTGTGCCTGTCCCCATCCCCAGCAAGGTCAGAGTTGGCAGAGGCCTACAGTCTGGCGTGTTGGGGTCCAAGTGTGGCCATTGCTTCTCCTTTGGCTTCCCACCTCAGTGCCCTGAGTCTGCACAGCATCCTCTCCAGGCCCAGAGGATCTGGGCTTCCAGGGCTAGGAGCAGGGAAGCTGGCGGGGCTCGAGGTCACTTGGCCAGGTAGCCCCTCCCTACACACAAGAATTCCCTGGGACCGCAGGCAGGGATAGTGCTGATGTCTGTGTCCGGAACCAGGGCCCCCTTCCTGCCACACCCATCCCTGTCAGGAGAGTCAGAATTCCAGAAGCAACCCTCTACCCGCCCCCCCCCCCGCCCCCCGCCAAACAAGCCCCGGGTTCCACCTGGCAAGGGCAACAGGAAATAATGGGCTGCCAGGGGAGAACGCTCCCGTCCTGCGAGAGAGCCACCCTGGGGGCGGTGTCCTTGGCTGCGCGGTCTGACACGGGCCCAAGAACAGAGCTGTGGAGGGTTTCCGTGTCCTGAGAAAGGCTGCACGGTCTGAGGGAGGGTGGTTCTCTGAGTCCAAACCAAGTGAGGAGCGGTGGGGGGTCCCAGCCACTTCGGGGCCGAACCTGGTTCCCAGCCCGGCGCCCATCCTGCTGGAAAGGGAGACTGAATTCGGGGCGCTGACGGAAACCGGCACGTCCAGCAACTGAGCGCCCCCAAATCACCCAGTCACCACCTGGTCCTCAGGAGGACAGGCGCCACGAGCTTGCTTCCTGCCCCCAGCCCAGCCATCGTCACTCTGTCCCTGAGCCAGAGTTGTCCCTGGTCAGACCACGTGTACGGGAGACAGAATAATCGTCCCCCAAAGAGGCCTGCGTCCTAAACCCTGGCACCTGATGGCAAAAGGGGCCTTGCTGCCGAGCTTACGTTGCTTTGAGATGAGATTCTCCTGGGTTATCCCGTGGGCCTGATCTAATCGTGAATCCTTAAAAGTGGAGAACGTTTCCTGGCTACGATCAGATGAGGGGAGGGAAGAAAGGTCACAGAGATCCAATGTTTGTGGCTTTGAGGAGGGAGAGAGGGGCCACCAGCTAAGGCATGTGGGTGGCCTCTCAGAGCTGGAGGAGGCAAGGAAACAGATTCTACTCCAGAGCCTTCAGAGCGGAATGCAGCCTGTCAACGCCTTGCTTTTATTCCAGGGAGACCAGTGTCAGGCTTCAAAACAATAGAACTGTGTGGGAATAACTTGTGTTGTTCTAAGCCCCTACATGTGTGGCAATTTGTTACTGAAACAATAAAGGACCAGTAAATTGGCAGGTGCCTTGGTCTCTCCCATACAAAGTGCAGGCCCTGCTGTGAACGAGAAGAAGCTCCCCCCCCCCCCGCGACCCCGCAGTGCAGTGGGGTGCGGGGGAAGGGGAGGCTGCCTCACGCCTGGAATAGGGGAGGGGCGGGCGGGAGGCACAGCCCTGGGCCCCAGCTCTCTGGGACTGGCTGCCACTTGCTCAGTCTGAGCCTCCCTTAATGTCAGTCTCCCTTTCACACTTTGTGCCCAAGACACAATCCTCTCTGGGCTGCTGTGCCCCTGCCCTGCCAAACTGGGAGCCTCACCTTTCCCAAGGCCTGGGGCCGTGACGTGGACCTTGACCCAGGACTTGCACTGAAAGGGGAACAAGACAAGGCCCAAGTTTACTCCCGGGTTCTGGCTGCTCATGGGCGAGCAGCTGTAAGGACCGGGGCGGGGCTTCCCAGGCTGGGAGTGGACATGGCAGGGTGGGCTGGCCCAGCAACGTGCTGCCCTCCAGGATCTAAGGGCTGGGAATGGGACACCCGGGCCCTTTGTCCTGCCTCCGCAGGAGAGCTGTGGAATCCCTGTCCCTTTAAATGAAATGGGATGCCTCTGGCCAGGAATGGGGGCTATAACTTGGAGAAGACATTGGCCCTACTCACTCTCTCCACTCCTTCAACAAAAGAGAGCCTTTCCAGGCCCCCCTCCCATCTCAGAGATCAACCTCACACGGGCACGACAGCCGTAGGGGGCACCTCCTGCTGCCCGGACGCCCAGATTCCACAGACACCCAGGAGCTCCCCCGGGCCTAGGATGGGCTCAACCCCAAGGTCTTTAGACTTACGTCTACCCTGCCCTCGGTCAAGGCACCAGCCAGCTCGTTGTCCAGAACACCTGGGCCAACCGGCAGTCCTGTTTGTGAGCCCTGGAACAGGGGCTCTCCCCGGCCAAAGCCCCAAAGCTGGCCTGAGACTGGGCCAGACCTCACCCCATCATCGGAGCCGGGGGCTCTGCAAGCGCTGGTCCCCCATCCTGGAGGCCAGTGCAAGCCAGAGAAGACCTAGAGGGAACATTCCTGAAAAAGGCCAGAAGGTGAGTAGAGGACCCAGGGGTTAGGAACTGTGGGGAGGCCTCTGAAGATGCCACTGGAGGACGGTACAGTTGACCTACATCTGCAGGCTTTGTGCCTGCGAATTTAACAAACTGCAGATGGAGGAAAAAAAACTTTAAAGTTACAGTGTTGCCCTGGCTGGTGTTGCTCAGTGGACTGAGCACTGGCCTGCGAACCAAAAGGCTGCTGGTTCGATTCCCAGTCAGGGCACATGCCTGGGTTGAAGGCCAGGTCCCTAGTTGGCAACTGATCAATGCATCTCTCACATATTGATGTGTCTCTCTTTTTCTCCCTCCCTCCCCCTCTCTCCAAAAGTAAATAAAATCTTTAAAAAAATTTTTTTAAAGTTACATTGTTGCTAACGTGTACTTTGTCGTTAGGCCTATGATGGTTGGGTCTATACTGAACATGTACAGACTTTTTCTTGTCATTATTCCCTCAACAATACAGTATAAGTATTCACAAAACATTTCACTGTATTAGGTATTTATTATAAGCAATCTAGAGATGATTTAAAGTATACTGTTGGATGTGTATAGGTTATGTGCAATGACACTGTTTTATAAGGGACTTGAACATCTGCCGCTTTTGGTATCCACGGAGGGCGTCTTGGAACCATCCCCTGGACACCGAGGGGCCACTGTACGGGCACCAGGTGAGAGGCCACCGCTGGCTGCTTTAGTGGCGGTGGAACTCTGCCAGGCCCTTTGCTCCCCTGGACTCAGGCCTGGCCCCAGCGGAGCAGGCCCGGGGCCCAGATGCGGTGTTCCTTCCATAGCCAGCCCCACTCAGCCCCACTGCCCTCCCCGCAGTGGGTTCCGGTTCCCTCCGCTGAGCTGTCGCTGAGCTTGAGTCTGTTCATTTGCTTGTGTGCCGAGTGTGCTTCCCCAGGCCCTGTGAGTGCTGCGTATTCGTGATTGTGTGTCTGCCTACGTGTGTGGGCAGCTGGCTATGTGTCAGTATGTCTGTCTATCTAAAGCTCTGTGTGCACGCCCCTATGTTGTCAAGGGCTCAGGCGGGCCTGGGGGCTGAAAGGAGGGTCCCTGGAGTCCCCTGTGGCGCCAGGCAGGGACTGTGGAAGGTGGTGGAGCCCTGGCTGGGCTCTGGGCTCTGGGTCCTCATGTCCGTGGAGGCGGCCGCAGGGCGGGCCGTCTGCGTCAGCCTTGAGCGGCCATCAATAGCGTGCGGTTAATTAATTTGATGGGAACAGCAGGGACCGCCGTTTGCATTTAGTGAAGTTCCAGGAACTTCCAACCTCATCTTCATAATTGGCCTCATAAATTGTAAGAAAGAGAG